CGTCGAGCCGCTCGCCGACGGGGAGGCTGTCAGCATCTCCGTGCAGACAGGTAAGGGCGGAGGGCGCGGCAGGTGCTCGGGGAGGGACGCCGGGCTTCTCCTTCCCGACCCCTTGCTTCGGCCGGCGGTAAGAGGAGGAGGGCGATGCATTTGCAGCTGCTGTAAACCTACCGTGTTTGCTGAAGGTCGCTGTCCTGCGCTTGAGTCCTCTTTACCCCGCTGCCAGAAATAACCGCTACCAAAAGTTAAGCCAGCTGCCTTGAAAGGGGAAGGACCAGCTCAGTGCTGGGAGCGTGTTTCTGTCGCTCCCTTAAGCTGCCATCCAGCAGAATGCTTGTAGAGTAGTGCCCTGTAACATCTTTTGTGCTCACACAAACCTGTTGGCTTCATAGTTCCTCAGGTGACAGCTTATTTACTGTGTTTAAAATACAATCTTATCTCATGACAGGTAGATCCCATTCAAGGATAACTTACCTTTTCAGCCCATTTCTATACTTTTATTCTGTCTAACCAGAGTCTGAAGGTCGGAAAGTAAGGCTGAAACTTCTTGCTTGTATGTTTTCCTTGAATACAGCCAGTGAGGTGTTACGACCTACAGTTGTGTGCAGAGCACACTTACAGTGTCACATCCATGACTGGCTGTAAAAATGTTCCAGCAGCTTGCCAGAGAGCTGCCAAGGAAAGCCCCTTTCTGCATGTGTGTTTGTGTGTGCATGCAAACAACTCAGCTGTGAAGCAATGAATGGCATAGAGCCACCAGCTGCAGTGAGAGAACTGGACTCTTTCTACCTGTATTAGTGGTTTTTTTAAAGATGATGAAATACAGTATTGTCCAACCTCTTAATGGTGGCAGCACAAGGCTCAAAACAGAGATGTATTAAATGAGGTCCATCATTAAATGCCACCCTGATTTGCTCCTAAAGTGTTAGTTTCAGAGAGGTACTTTGCAGTATTAGTATTGAAGATTACAGCAGCCAAATACTTTAAAAGTACTGGTTCAGAGACATCGTTTGCTGTCAGACCCTTTTCCCTATTTTTTTTGCACTAATTACCCTCCATTAACTTGCTTTGGTAACTCAAGTTAAATAAAGCTTAGTGACAAGTCTGCTGGTGTGATAGCTATACATTAAGCACAAGTCATGTCACTTGGTAAAAATGAGTAATGGTTTCTATGCAGACAGTGATTTAAATCCATGCCATGCATCATGCCAGCTGGTTTTAATGTTCATGACTTATAATTTGAAAATTGAAAGAATAAATCAACCTCTATCAGAGTGACGGGTATAATTCACCATCACTACTGGATAGTAGAGATCTATTATTGAACACTTGCATAGAAGTAGAGAAAAAGATACCACTTAAGACCACATTTTGATTAATGCATCATCGTTTAGACAGTAACTTGTACCTGTCATTTATGACTTTTTTTATCAGTAAATAGATTTTGCAAGACTGTAAGATAAAAGCAGTTGGAAGCGACTGCTTGTTATAGTCATATTATGTAGCTGACATCAGAGTGAAAAGACTGATTAAAGTTTAAGTTGAAATACTGCAAATTAGTGGACCATAGCTGAAGTGAGGTTTATGTTTGGATTGTGCATAGCAGAGATCAGTCAAAAGCGTGAAATAAGAATAGAGGAACCATGGAGGTTTCCTGCAAAGACAGCTACTCAGATTGCTCCGTGGTTCCTTGCTTCTCTTGATTCAATCACATCAGTTGACTTGCTTGATGGTGTTCAAAATATGCAGTTAGCTCCAAAATTTCTCCATTTATTCTTTTTCTAGAGAATATATAGGGTTTGTTACGCCTGTCAGCCACCATGTCGTACTGTCAATACTATGCATTTCAATACAGAATGAGGGAGGATTATTCCCCCTATATGTTTCCACTAGGGGCAGCATTTTAAACCAGTTTTCTGAAAGCTCTTTTTCACCTGTTCCTTTGTAACTTGATGTCTGTAGTTTTGTTTTATGATCTACTGAGCCTGAATGTCCATAGGCATGTGTTCCTGGAAACTAATCTGTGAATGTGGAAGTATGAGCAATATTTTCAGCCATATTGTAAAGAAAATTCCAACTGATTTGAATGGTAGTGGAACTGAGCAATCATGGGCTGTCTAAAAATATGATGTCTGACCTTGGTACTCAGTGAGGTTCCCTTCCTGAGCTCTTTGTTTTAGAAAGATGGGCTTTGGAGGTTCCCAGCTTTCTCCGCTAACTGTAAAAGGAGCCTAGGTTAAACCAGGCACCTGAAGTTTCAATAGTTGAAATTAAGTGAGAGGAATCCCATCTCATGTGTTTACTTTTGCAAAATGAGGTTTTGAACATCTGTATCGTCTTGATACAATAAATGTACACAGAGGAAGTTGCAGATTCATTTATATACCTAGTTCAGAAACTACCTTTTTGCTCATATTCAATCCTGTTAGAATTTTCATGTGCTCATTCCTGTTATGAGTACAATTTTCATCACATTTCTTATACAAAGTGCTGGAGTAGCTAAGCCCATAAAATCCAAAATATTTTGTTAAATTTTGTGTGCGATCTGTTCTGACTAAGGACTTAAGGTGAAAGCGATGAATACTGCATACCATAGTTGCAGTTGTAATGTGAAGGTTTGGAGAGGACCAAATCCCTAACTTAATTTGGTCTTTTGAGTATTTAATTTTACATTAAAATCATAGTTATGGCAATGAATTAAGTGTATGTTGTTTGCAAGTTTCATATTCCAATAGAGTAAGTGCGCAGATCACCGAGACTGCATAAACTCTCTGAATAACACCAGACCCTTTGTGAATCTTTGAGTAGAGAAGCAGCTTCTATTTCACTTGTGGATGCATAGATCTAAGATCTAATAATGTAGGGAATACTGATACAATAATCCGCACTAGTCCTTTTGATTCTATGGGTTATGAATTTAAAATGGCAAGTATTTAATCCTCTAGAGCAGAACTAAAACAGGTACTCCAAAACAATGGAAAATAAAATCACATAACCAGTATATAAGACAGGTATACACAGGCATGCAAACACACGTACAGTGTTGGCAGTTGTGCTATTTTGGTAGAATAGGAAATAAAGAAAACGCTGATAACAATATCTATCAGTTTGGAGCTACAGATAAATTTTCCACTGGACACCTGAGATTACACATGTTAGTAGGAACAAATCTGTATATTTATTTTACATTAATATTTACCATGTTTTACTTTTTTTTTAATATACATACATAAAATGGCACATAAATCCATACAACTAGTCAGCATGCTTGACATTGTAAAGTTGGGACAACACATGCACCTGTCGGTCGTTTCGTGCTGTCTTCTTTATTGTTCTCAGGAAAACTATTTCTGTGACTGAGAACTACTCTATGACAAAAGATGGTAGGGTTGTGTCCTTCTTGATTTCAGGTAAAATACTTTTTAAGTTCTTAATTCTCCAAATGTCTGCGCACAAGCATAACAGTGTATTTCAGTAGCGTATTTTCAGTTAAATTATTAATTAAAATAATTAATTAAAATTAATTAAAATTCTAGTTAAAAACAGTAGTATACAAACAGATCCTAAATTACAATTAAATTTATGAATTTTGATTCTGAATTGATACTCAGATTCAAAATACTGGTCTTGAGAGCCATGAAAAACAACTTGGCAATTCCCCTGCTTTCAAATATATCTTCTAAAATAGGCTTAGAAATTTTCAGCATTATTATAAATTTTTGTCACAAAAATTGCTAAATATTTGCATGAAAAGAGGGTAAAAATTCTACCTTCTAAGACACAGACTGGTTGAGTATTCTTCCATTGTAATATGCAACTCCCTAAATGCCAGAAGCATGGCTTGGCCATGTGTTCACCTCTGTAAATTTCAAATTATTTGGGACAAATCTGATTTATTAGCCATCTGTAGGAACAACTACTGTGACATGGCTCTGACTGTAGGCTGTATGATCCTATCATCCATAATCACGTAATGGTTATGATCATCATCTCAAAAGGCAGAGTACAAGAAGAAAATAAATAACCATGTTTTAAAGATCTTCTAGGTTGCATATCATCCCAAAGAAATGGATATTTGTACTTAATAAGGACAACAAAATCAAACGTGTTTACTTAATCTTCAGAAAAGTCCTTGTGAAGTAGGTTACTGTTTTATGAATAGGGAAAACTAGGAAAAAAATGGGTAATTTGATAGGAAGATGGCTGAGACTGGCTGGAATTCCCCATTACTCAGTCCTGGGCTCGTGTCTCTCAGGTTTCTTTTTTTTCTCCTTCATAAGGCAGGGGTGTTTCTGTGCTTACAGGCTGTATTTGGGAGTCATGTCATTGGGATTGGACATAACCAGATTTGCCATTTCTATAAAATCTATCTGTAGCAGCTGTGCACACAAAGCACGTCCTCTTCCCAAAAAGTGAAAATGGAGGTGCATTGTAATTCAAACACCATTAGGTCTTCTGGAAGATTCCTTTGTAGAGCAGGAGACATTAATTCATATAGTATCAAATGGTATAAAAATATCTTTGTGAAAATACTTTATTTCTGTGATATATCGGAGTTGTATCGTTGCCAGCAGAGACTTGTATAACAATGTAAATGGCTTTTTAAGTGTTTGTTTCCATCCCGGGCTCTTTCAGCCCAGGCACTTCCCAATCTCATTGTTCCTTTGTTCTAGCGGATGTACAAAGCACTGAGTGTTTTGTTTTCTGGACCAGATAGATTAGATAAAGTCTGAATTTCTGAACTTCACCTTCTAGGCACGCAACTCATTTCTTTGCTAATGCACCTTAGAAGACAGATTACCCAGGACAGTGTAAGCAAGCGCTTCTAAAAATGTAGGAGATGTCTTCTTTTGTAGAATTTGGCAAATAATGCAGATTCCAATGCTGGTTACTTTTGCAGGACTAATGAGCAGTCAGCCTTACCCTAATTTTGTCAGAGACAGAGTTAAACTTCTTGACAGTTATCATGACAGTTCTCTTGATATCAGTCAAGTTAAAACTTTTTCAGATGGCTGTGCATCTGACCATATATAGCGCTGGAATTTATTTCTGACTCCCAAAGTTTGACCTCTCTGATTAGAACAATTGCCTTCAAGGAACAAGATTATATCCCCACTATTCACTTTTGCCAACATAATAGCCTTTAGTAGCTTAGTATATATTATAGGTGGAGCTGGTAGTCAGGCCTATTGTTAAGATTTCCTGACCCTTTTCATTAAAACCTCCTGTTTCAATTGCTGTAACTGGGTGAAGTTTTAACTTTTTGGCCTGAAGTTTGATGTGCTTGGTCTTTGACTTGAGTTTTAATTTTTTTTTTTCTCCAGATTTAAGCAGAGTTAGTTTGGCCTTTAAGAAAGAGATCAAGAAAAAAACAATAGTTATTTTTATTTACTCATTTTGTTAATTTAATTTTCATCTCTTTTTCTGAAGAGCACTGGCATCTCTGTGGTCCGAAGCAAGAATCTGAATTTAAGCAGAGACCTGGGTTCAAAGCGACACAGTATTTTTCACTGAGTCACAGAATCACAGAATGGTTCAGGTCGGAAGAGACCTCTGGACATCATCTGGTCCAAGCCCTGTGCTCAAGCAGGGCCACCTAGAGCTGGTGGCCCAGGACCATGTCCAGGCAGCTTTTGAACATCTCCAAGGAGGGAGATATTCCCTTGAAATTCCTAATATGTTTGATTGACAGAGCATACCACCAAAACCTGGCACCAGTATGTTCTCAGCAGAGCTTTGTAAGAAGCGATTAAACCCTCTGCACTACCCAGGATTTGAAGACAAAACAGCTAAAAGGCTACTAGCCCCATGATGCTCCTACTGCTGTATTTGTAGGGTGGGGGTAGGTTCGGTTTTGTCCCTTCAGCCTTTACAGTGCAGTTTTTCATGATGTGGCCTCACACTCATCTGCCTTGTTCAGGGAAACAGGCAGCAATGACTGTGTTGGAAAAATGGTCTTATTCTTCTGCGTTGAAAGCACTTTTCATACGGAGACCTCGATTCTCAGCCTGGATGCACCGTACGCTCCCTGTCTGATGCTAGGCAAGGGTAGCACAGAGTGTACTCATGTGGGAGCCAAATTTAGTTGTTAAATTGTTGGGAAACCTTTATTCTTTAGCTCCCCAACTTGTGAATGCTTGATTTTGCTGCCTTGGGTTTTATGATACCTTTTTAATACGCAATTACTTAATGTTATTGGGAGACATAAATGTCAATACCTTAGTACATCAATGTGTAATAAATTTCTTTTGATTTGCATGAAGTCTTGTGAGGGATGAAATACACCTGGAGAATACAAGCAATCAGAGTCTTTTATTTTGGCCAATGTTTGCCATCCCTTTCAAGTATATAATATTTTACAGGTGATTTTACTTGAGAGCTCCTTAATAAACAACAGAGTGAACGCTGAGAGTTTCTCAGAGAAATGGTCCCAATTAAATATAGTTATAGTTCCTAAAAGTTTGTCCAATGTACTGTTTGGGGTTTTTTAAATCTATATGAACAATACTACAGCAGAGCAGAAGTATATTCTATCAGAATCTGATTAAAGTGGTTGAAGTTAATAGTAAAACTAAAGGACTGTTGCACTTAAAATTGTATAAATGCCATTAGTGATAAAGTGTTTAGCGTGAGTGCTAGGAAATGAAAGCCACTGGCACCGTTGTACATCTATAAAGCTACATTACACTGAGGCATTGAGTGTAATTTTCTGGGTTTTCATGTTTGTGGTTTCTTATTAAAGTTGTTACAGTTTTACTATCAGCAGATTTCCAAGCTTGTTATATACATCCACAACTGGAAGTGTTTTTCTATGTGCGTGTGTGAGAGTGAGTGTGTACACATATACTCAGGTAACATTTCTGAATTCTGCAGGACTCTCTTGTAGACAGTTTTCAGTGATAAGATGTTTGTAAGTGGAAAGAAAAAGACTTTTTGAAAAGCATTAGCAACATGATGAAGATAAAGGGAGAGTTTTAGAAGGTTTTCTGGGCTGCTGTGTAGAACTTCAGACAGTCCCAATGCAAGAAATACTAGCTTATGTTTTCTGTTTGTTTGGTTTTTTTTTAACAGATCCCTTACCACCACCTCGGTTTGAAATTAATAAGGAAAAAACTACACTCACAAGCTTGCAGGTTCAGTGGGATCCTTCCCCGGGAAAGGTGGACTTGTATAACCTAGTATTATTTGATCATGATAATAAAACGATACAAGAAGTCTCCATACCAGGAAGAATTTCAAAAACAGAAAATACTTTTTCCAGACTCATCCCTGGGAATAAATACAACATCGTCCTCAGTGCAGTTGCTGGAAATAAGAGTACCCCAGAACTTCACCTAAGTGGATCTACTGGTAGGACTTCTTTCTCTGAAGTTCATCTAAATAGAACCACTTACAGTATTTTGCAGTTTTGCATTTTGAAATTAACAAATGCATATAATTCTTATACCTGGCAAGATATATGCATATATGTATATGTAAGTATCTATTGATAAGTAGAAAGAAACAAAACATGAATCTCTGACTAACACAAAGAGTTGTTTGCTAAGAATGGAGGCATATTATCATGGTGTATTTGGACATATTTCAAAAGGAAATCTGTTCAAAATTGCTGAAATTGTGGAGATAACCATTAGGCCTTAAGCATGTGTTTTTTATTCCAACAGTGCCATCCCCTGTGAAAAATATTCAGGTCAGTGTCAAGACAGACACTATCCATGCTTCATGGTCTCCTGGCTCTGGGCACGTGGATCGTTACAGGCTGGTGTTACTGGATAATCATGTCCCAGTTCATGAGATTCACCAAGAAGATCCTCTGACCTCCTACACATTTTCAGGACTCACAGCAGGCCACGTGTATAACCTCTCTATCATAGCCCAGGCTGCAGGACTGGAGAGCATCAGTTTTCAAACCGTCAGGACAGGTATGACTTCAGAATTCGTCACAACAAGAGCAAGAAGCTAAGGCCATACTCTAGTAATATTACAGGATGTATTTCAGAATAATAAATGATTCGTGTTGCAAATGTATATTCCCAGACTTCAGTGGCTGAATTACCCTTGGCAGGTGTTTCTCTCCAAAGGCTATAGAGGGAGTTAGGGATGCTATAAGCTTATTTAGCTCCCTAAGTTAGCACTGCAGCAAAGTTAGCAGCCAAATTAGCTTGTAGGGTGTTTGCAGCTAACTTAGCTGCACTGCTTAATGTAGGAAGTTCCATTAAAGATGTGAAGTTAAGGGTTAACAATCTGAGCCCAAGTGCCCTAGTATCACCTCATATCTGTGAAAGAGGTTCATCTGACTCCTGTATGAACTTCTTCAGTGAATTGAGGTGGTGTGTAGTCTGGTTATTTCACAGTACTGAAGGCAGTTTAACTCCATGTTTCTTAGCTGAATGGAAGATGTAGAGCTTGTGAGTTTTGCAAAAAAAATATTTTCTGTGACTTTTTTTCTCTGGATTGCGAAAAAGCTGCACTTCTGAAAAGGAAATTAAAAAAAATGTAGAGCAGGTTAAGAACTTTAAAATTTAATGTTGTTTTTGTTTTTGTTTTTTTTTTTTCACAGAGAAGTATTGATTCACAGAACCAAAGTTTTAGAAATGAAGGTTTTTTTCAGGAGTTTTTCAGGATAGAGTTCTGTGGTCCTAGAGAGAAAGATAAGCTAACATCCTACTAGAGTGCAATGGTTAAAACACTCATGTAAGCAAAAACAGGGTCATGTGTTTGCTTTCCTTAATTTGTGGGAAACATAAGGTGCAGTTTCTCCTATAGAAATCTCACTGTGTAAACACAATTTAATATTAAGTGAACAATATTGTGATGTTTAGAGCACACAGATGAGTGCTGTTGTCACCTAGCACTAGCTGTTCTGGGGATTATACTCTTGTTTCATTCTATTTCTTCAGAATTTTTTATTCCTATTGTGGGGTGCAAAAATTTTAAATCTCACAGGTTTTTTCAGAACATAAAAGCACTCCATCTAGCTTGCAGCATGGTCCTCCCTTTCAGTACTATGGCTGTGGCTATGCTTTTCTTTGGTGGAGTATTTGAATAAAGGAGTTTGATTCCAATCCCTTCTACACTGGTGTAAATCAGGCATGAGTCCAATGACGCTGTAGTGTCTCGTCTACCAAAATGTATGCAGGCATCTCTGTTCTTAGGAGCATGTGCCTGGTCTGTTTTATAGTCGAAATGACTAGTGTGAGTGCAGACATGGCTAACAGATTTTCTATTCCATGAAACAAGAGTGGGCATTGTAAGAGATGTCACTCTCAGCAGCAGAGTATCTTAAAACAGGACTGGGTTCAGTTTCGCTGTGACCAGACTTTGCCTTTTCACTATTCAGGCACAACCATTCATACTCCATCTCATATAACTATTCAAAAGCAAAACTTATCTATCACAGTTTGGAGGCAGCAGGTCTTATGTGTTCCATGGTGGAAGTATTTTATTCTCTTTCCTATTTTCTGTTTTTTAGCTCCAGCTGAAGTCTTAGATCTGACAGTGACGAACGATGACAGCTTAGATGCTTTAAAAGTTAAGTGGAGAAGACCTTCAGGAAACCTCAATTTCTATAATATCACTCTGTCTCATCCTGGATCAGTTAAAGAAGTCAAAACTGTACAGCCACCGGTCACAGAGACTCACTTTGACAACCTAACTCCAGGACGTCTTTATCAGGTTACTGCCCGCACAGTCAGTGGTGAACTGTTTACTGATCAGATGGCAACTGGCAGGACATGTAAGTCTTCTGCTTCAGTAAGAACATTGTAACCAATGCTATTTTTGCCTACATTGGCCTTGTAGAAAATCATTGTAGGAGACAAAATGATTTGGATTCCAGGAAAAATAAGATAAAGAGCACAATATTGTTCCGGGAGTACCCCTTCCTGACTCTCTGGCAAGTTAATCTGGCAGTCAAAAGCAGCTCTAGCATAGCTTGGGAGCAGGAAACAATAATGCATTTTGGACCTTATAGTTGGGTGAGTCTATTACAAAACTGTTCCACATTACTGTACTGCTGACCAACTTTGTTATCTTGAATTCAACTCAGCATAGTATAGGAGTTACATTATGGGGAAGTCTGTGTGTAGTCAAATTGTTAACAGATTTTTAATAAATTTTGCAAGGTCTAATATTATCCCTTGCTCCCAACACAAATCTACAAATAGAAAAAGATTAAGTCTCGGCTTTCTTTACTACCAACAGCATGGATTAAGGAAGGCATGTGGCAGCCTGGGGAGAGCTGAGTTACGGGGTTTTTTGTCTTCTTTCAGAAGGACAGTTTTCTTTCAGGTATCTCTTGTATGAGTTCTGAACCTGAAAAATCCTGGCATAATTCTCCCACAGCATTACTGGCCACAAAGGCATGTGGTCTTCTCCACACAAGCCTAGCCCAGGCAGAATTTAGATGGGAAAAAATATCTAAGTGGGTGAAGAATACATATGTGAATTGTTAGTAGACTCAGAGCCAAAAAATATAAAATGTGTTTGTGTGAGAGAGAGAGAGAGCATTTATTTTAGAGAATATTTATTATCTACACCTAAACATCTCACGTGAAAGACGCATCCTTGACATATCTAGCTGCTACCCCATTCTCAGTGCAGGCTGGAAGACACCCAAAAAGCCTTTCATATCCAGTAACTACAAAGCTGGACTGGTTATACGCATGTCTTTTTTATTTGTCTAGCCTACCATTAAAGACCTTTAAGATTACCATTTCCATCTGAAAGGAGAGCTTAAGGCCCTCACTCAAACCACTGATGCCCAAATTTGTGACCTAGAACCAGTACTTTCAAAGTTGGGGATCTTGAAGTCCCATTTCCAAGGATGCTGATCATGTGCAATTCCTTCCCTGACTTTTCCGTAGATACCAAGAGCTTTGAAAACAGAGTCACTTCAGGAGGAGCCTTGTGGCCTAAAGACAAATTTGTAGATCCAGGCTGTCAGGTCTACAGATACTGAAGGGGTTATGCTTTTAGGATCCCTCTGTAACTCACAGAGAGAGCCGGGTGCCCAGGAACATAATCCATATTGCTCTGTATTGAGAGGGTGCCTGTGGCAGCAGAACCTGCTGAGCAACGTTGTGGTAAGGAATATGGACATCTCAGGGACTGAAACTTTGTACCATAAGGATGTAATGATGTCCAGCCAGCCTAACAAGGCTGAACTTTATCTGTTATGTAAGTACATCTGTGCTTCCTAACAAAACACTGTGTGCTTTTATCCGCTCACTCAGCAACTGAAACAAATCTCCCATATTCACTGGCACGTGGGAGATCTAGGTTTGATAGCCAGCTGTGCCTGTGGGAAGTGAAACTGGCAAGTATTTTGTGGTGCTGGTAGAAATCTCTCAAACCTTTGCTAGGTACTGAGCAATTAAATATTAACAAGACAGAGAAAACATGAGAGCATGACTCTAGCCTTGTAATTTACAGTTAATACTTGCTGGTGGTCTCAGGGCTCCAATGCTGATCTCTGAGTATCTTAACACTAAGCTACAGGTATGCTAACCTACGGGTCTGCATCTGCCTTCCAAGCTCCACTTGGTGTGGTTAATATTTAATTGTTCCATGAAAATCAGAAAAGCCTCTGTGGTTCAGTGTGACTTGCAGCAGTAGGGCAGGAAGGTTGAGTGTGTAAATTCAAGACCCTTTAAGTGGAGGACAGGACAGAGTGGATGCTTTAATGGCCTCAGTTTGAACCTCGGTGCCTTACAGCTGGGAGGGACTAGGAGATACAAGGCTTTTGCGGAAGAGGCCATCAGACTTTGCATTTCTGCTGCTGAGGCCAGAATATGGCCCATAGCGATTGAAGTTTTGGCCTTAGCTTTGAAAAATGGATTGACAGTTTCTAAGTGAACTTAAGTCCTGGAAACAACTGGGAAGCTAACTGAAAACTGCAAGATGTATCCAAGAGGTGCATGGGGGAGATCTCGTCTGCTCTAAGAAGGGTTTGCATTTCTGATGTCAGAAACCAACAATGAAGAAGTGAGTGGTTTGTGGGGGGAGGAGTAAAAATTATCTCTAAAATGAATGCCAACCTTTGTAACAAGATACCTCACGTTGCGCTAACTAATCCAAGTTCTTCTACAATAGCTATGCCGCGAGGCGGGTTTTGCCAGTCTGCAGTTCCGTCTTCCCAGAAATACCCCACTTCGAAATTACTCTCTCAATCTCTGTATTTCAGTTCCCCAGAAAGTTTCTGAGCTGAAAGCCGGCGGCGGAGGCTGGCTGAGGTCTCTGCAAGTGAACTGGCTGCCCCCTGCGGGAGACTGGGAGAGGTACCACCTGCTCCTCTGGAACCACTCGGCCCTGGTGCTCAACACCACCCTCGAGAAGGATGCCACAGAGTACCTCATCCATGACGTGGGCCTCATCCCGGGGAGGCAGTATGACGTGGATGTCATTGTGGAGAGTGGCAATTTGCAGAGCAAGGCTAGCTGCACGGGGAGAACAGGTCAGCGTGCTCATCCGGGAAGTGTGAAAGTGCAAAATGTTCAGCTGGGGCTCTGTGGCAGTCAGAAGAAAATAGTACTTGGGAATCCACAGTTGAATTTCACTATTAATACAGTAAAAAGGAGCTCCCTTGTGAAAAAAACATAAATAATTATGTTTAGCACTTCTATGAAAACTTTCAGGGTTATTTTTGTGATTAATGTATTGTTAGTGAAAGTTTTGGGAATTATATCACCATTCTGTTGTGACTGAGGCGTAACACTACATGTATAACATTTCACTGTTACATTTCGTAGATGATTGCAGACACCCTATATAGTTCTTTAAAGACAGCAATATAGATTCTGCTGTATTGTTCATCAGTGTGTTCAGTGGCAAACTGGTTTACTTGCCAGCTTGTATGACTAATTAGCATCAATAGCGTTAACCAAATGGGCTGAGGTGTATGTTAGTGTGGCTGTTCCATAATGTCTTAATTCTTGTTCCTGTGCTCCAGAAATAAAATGGGGTTAGCTGGTTTGAGTCAGCCTTTCCAAAGGAAATCCATATACACTGCAGTGATGTTACTGGAATTCTTTCGGAGCACGCTAGTCAAAGCCACATCTGATTGCTTCAAACTTAAAAAACAGCTGTGATATAATTGTTAATGGTTCTGCTCTGTGAATGCAACGTAAGTGCCATTCAGAGGATGGGAAGACTTGGAGGAGGAGTATCAGGCAAGGCTCAGCCTGAGCCTGATCTCACAGGAGAATGTGAGATAAGATAGGGCCACTCTACTTTATCCTCACACTTCCTGGTGCCCGCCTTTCCTGTTACACCCTTACCTGTCATTCCCCGAGGGCTTCATTTTCTTGATTTTGCACAATGGCAAGACCAGTAGACGCTACAGAACTGAAGCTTTCTCTAACTTCTAGCCAGCTGGATCAGAGGAAGGCAGATTCTCATCTTGCTTATGTTGATATGTGTTACAAATAATTTAAGTTTATGGTGTTACTTCTAATTGACACAGCTAAGTAATTAGAACATAGTCCAATAAATAATATCAAGCAGTGGGTGTATCACAACTGTGTTTGACCCACAGTCAGGTACATAATGTACCTGTTATGAAGCATAGGTATTGGGCCCTACTCTGACTTAGTTTTCTCTTTTGTAAACCCAGTCTTGGAAAGTGAATTGGATTTCAGCATAACAGGGACAAAATCAGATTAGGGGACTACGTTAGGTAACAGATGCCCTCTGAGTGCATGCATGCACACATACACAAACACACACTGAAGTTCACTGATCAAATTCTTTCATTTATGCCTGTTGTGGTTTAACCCAGCAGGCAGCTAAACACCACACAGCCATTCACTCCCTTCCCTTGCAGTGGGATGGGGGAGAGAATCGGGAAGAAAAAAGTAAATTTGTGGGTTGAGATAAAGACAGTTTAATAGGACAGAAAAGGAAGGGAAAATAATAATAGCAATATTAATAATAATAATAAAAGAATATACAAAACAAGTGACATACAATGCAATTGCTCACCACCTGCCAACCGATGCCCAGCCAGTTCCTGAGCAGCGATCACTGCCCCCCAGCCAACTCCCCCCAGTTTCTATACTGAGCATGACGTCGTGGTCTGGAATAGCCCTTTGGCCAGTTGGGGTCAGCTGTCCTGGCTGTGCCCCTTCCCAGCTTCTTGTGCACCTGGCAGAGCGTGGGAAGCTGAAAAGTCCTTGACTAGGGTAAGCACTGCTTAGCATCAGCTAAACCATCAGTGTGTTACCAACATTATTCTCCTACTAAATCCAAAGCTATCCCAGCAACGTGGAAGAAAATGAACTCTGTCCCGGCTGAAACCAGGACAATACCACTGTAAGTTTGGAGTGTCTCCCAACTTCACTGAGATACAAACCAGTGCAAAATCAATGTCACTCTGACCCTATAATTTGCATCCTTGTTTGTTACAGCTGAATTGTGTAGATCTATTTTATGGTACAAACATTTTATATCCCTGTCTAGTACACGCAGTTCAAGAGGAGGCTCACTGACTTCACTGCATTTCCATTCATGCTAAAATATATATCCTGGCATAAGTTTAACCCTAAGCATTACAGCCATAATGCATTGCTGAAGTCTGCTGCTACAGCCCTTTACTGGAGGAGTAGCACAAATACTAGATTTGTAAGATTGGCTTCCTAGAGAAAGGTAAAGAATCTCCTCTTGATTACAAATACTCTGTTGCTGTTACATTTCTGTCTTAAAGAACAGATTTCTTACAGCCGTTTGAGATATGACATGTGTGTTCACTACAAAGTCCTGTTCTCATTGTGATATCTGTGTACTTCTACAGCTCCAGAGCCTGTTCTCCAGCTCCGTGTGAAGCATGCTAATGAATCTTCACTTAGTGTCATGTGGATGACCCCTGTTGCAGAATGGGACAGCTATGTGGTTTCACTGGGAGACAGGGATCTTACTGTTATAAAAAAAGGGCTTGTAAAAGAAGCTAAGGAATTCACTTTTACTGACTTGGTACCTGGAAGAAAATACACAGTTACCATCACTACCATTAGTGGGATTTTAAGCAACTGGACTTCAGTGGAAGGAAGAACAGGTATCATCCTGTCAAACTATTTTTATCTTTACTTCTGTTAACCATTAACAACTTCCTTTGCTTTGTAGTGAACTGAATGAACTCAGTGTCTAAATATCAGAAGTCTTGAATTTGCATTTATTTCTTCAATAGAGGTATTATGTTTCTGAGTCTCTCATTTCTGACTGTCAGTTATCTTGCGGTATTTATTTAAGGTTTTGGGGAAATGGATATGTAATTCTTAGTAAAACAGTTTTCTGAAATATTGTGTCACGTCTGATCAACCTACATTAGCACAAGATTCCATATAAGAAGAACAATTTTCACTGGGTATCTTCAGGAAGGTCACTTCCTTGATTCAAAGCATTCATCATCTGGGAAAAAAAAACCAAAACAAACACCACCACACAGGAAAATGTTGCTTTAGGGGGAACATTCCAAGGTTGACAGACACAAAACATATGTGACCTTGAAAATGTATTTTGAATCTCCCTGCTCTTCTGATTCCAAAATCTCTGTTACTTAGGATGATGACTGTGACACAAGGAAGGTCCCATTCCCACCCCCTGCAGGGTGCTAATTTTGTGCACGTGTGCAAGTTTTAAACCATATGTGTTGCTTTACTCTGCTTGACTTACGCATTCTCCAGTGCAAGCAAAGTCTTAAAATGTACCTCTGGTCTGGCACAGCGCAGAGAAAAGCAAGCTGGTAGTGTATGAATCTAATCATGCCTGTGGCTTGATAGCGGTCCTTACTAAAGTGTTGTAATTCCTTCCAAGACCTGAGAAGTTTGACTTATGCTTTCATTTCTCTGCTGTGCGATTAGATAGCTGGGATTTCACTTCCTTCTGCCTTGTGCCCCTTTAGGAGAACTATTCAGGCATAGAGGCTACACTGTCCCACTTCACTAGTGTGAATCAATGCTTGAAAACACATCAGGCAGGGATAGTGTGTCAACATTACATTCAAAGGGAGAAAGAATGACCATCAGTACATTTGAACATAGGTCTTAATAATCATTCCAGACCTCTGAATCTTCTTTTTGGTAGGACAACCTACTAGGCCTGCAAAACACTGCTGTAAATTTGACAGAAATAGGTCTTACTTGCTTCCCAGATGATCAGATTCCAGTGAGGCCTGAGGTGTCACTGAAGGTGCCTTTATCCTAGAAATATGGCATTTCTGTTTCTTGTTGGACCTTGCTATGTTACGACAGTATTATAAAACAGGTGTGGTTTTTGATTCAGTTTTATATGAAAGTTACATTTTTTCTAACTTTTGTTAATGATTGCTAATCCAGTACTATGTGTGGAAAAGGGCTGATATAAAACGAGATGAAGCTTGCAATCACACTTTGTAAAGTTAAAGGGTTCTCTATTTAGAATCATAGGATCATAGAATCACTTTGGTTGGAAAAGACCTTTGAGATCATCCAGTCCAACCTTTAACCTAACCCTGACATCCCACCACTAAACCATGTCCCTAAGCACCTCATCTATCCTTCTTTTAAATACCTCCAGGGATGAAGATTCTACCACCTCTCTGGGCAGCCCATTCCAGAGCCTGACAACCCTTTCAGTGAAGAAGTTTTTCCTAATGTCTAGCCTAAACCTGCCCTGGCGCAGCTTCAAACCAGTCCCCCTCGTCCTATCATCTGTTACCAGGGAGAAGAGGCCGACCCCCACCTCCCTACAGCCTCCTTTCAGGTAGTTGTAGAGGGCGATCAGGTCTCCCCTCAGCCTCCTCTTCTCCAGTTGTGCTTGGTCATGTAAGCAGAAATACTTACAAAGAAGTAACTGTATCTCCTTGCTTTGACCAATTATTGTCAAATTAAAAAAAAAAAAGTTTTTGAGTAAAATTTGTGCTAGATATTCCATTCCTTTCTGTTCTTTCTTTTTCTTCTTTGGTCTGGCTAAGTACACCAGCTTGTACTTAGATAAATGTCATGTTAATTCAAAAATTACTTAATCTTTTGATGCTAGAAAAGTCTTCTGACCTAAAAAGTACACCCAAATCCATCCATCTCAGTTAACCCCAAAATTAAAGGGTCTGATACTTCTCTGAGGTATATATGTTTAGTCTGGAGAAGAAGCTGAGGGGAGACCTTATTGCCCTCTACAGCTACCAGGTGTAGCCAGGTCTCTTCTCCCACGTAACAAGCAATAGGATGAGAGGAAATGGCCTCAAGTTGCACCAGGTCAGGTTTAGATTGGGTATTAGGAAAATTTTTTTCACAGAAAGGGGTGTTAAGCATTGGAACGGGCTGCCCAGGGAAATGCTCGAGTCCCCATCCTTGAGGGTATTTATAAGACAGGTAGACGAGGTGCTTAGGGACATAGTTTAGTGGTGGACAGGTATGGTTGGACTTGGTGATCTTAAAGGTCTTTTCTACCAAATGATTCTATGATTCTATAGATTACTGTGCCTGAGGTATTTGTCAGACTAGCTTGCCATTTAATAGGAATGAGAGATGGAAATAGGAGAGGAGAGGGAGAATGAAAAACACAGACTGTATTTGAAATAGTCATCACAAAACCAAGTGATTTCCTAAATTGATGGCTTTTGTTTAATGGTATTTATAAAATCCCATCTTTTTCCCGTTCACTGATCTTGAATCATTTTGGTTTGACTGAGAAAAGCTGTGTTAAAGCCTGCAAGACCTTTCTGTGCCTTAGATAGTTTCCCATAGACCACATCCCATCAGACAGGAAGCAGTCCACAGTTAGATTATTTTTAGTCCTGTTGAGTCTGGCTGCAAATTGGAATGTTCTTTTGATGCACTTCCTCAGTGTGACTAAACTTGGGTTGTTTGGAGGATTTTGTTTTGTTTTATTTTGTTTCTCCTCAGTAACATTATGACAATTTTTTTTGCAGTGCCAGCCCAAGTGACTGGTCTGACTGTGGCAAGTCAGGGATCAACCAACAGCTTGTTCACCAACTGGACAAGAGCACTGGGAGATGTAGACTCATACCAAGTGCTACTGATTTACGAGAATGTTGTCATTAAAAATGAGACTGTTCCCAGTGAAACCAACAGATACCACTTCTACCCCCTGAAACCTGGAGGACTCTATTCAGTTGTTGTCACCACTGTCAGCGGGGGGATATCTTCAAGGCAAACAATCGCAGAGGGGAGGACAGGTAAAAAGAAAAATACTCCATCATGTCTTTTGTCAGTTCCTAAAAGCTGAATTTATTAGAGGGAATGGTCTTGTGATTAAGCCACTGGACTGAGAATTCAGAAAGACAGGAATTTCAGACACGTAATTCCTGTGTGTGACCTCAGGTACACTGTAAGTCCAGATTCATGTTAGTGTAGCTTTAGGGAACTAACTGCTCTGCCTGCAACGGGAGCTCCGTACAGCAGAATCGCTCTGTAGTGAAGACAAAAATACGCTGTCAGGGTGATGTACAGCTGTGGTGGGTGAATCACTTCTTGGAAGGGACTATCTTTTCCATCAACTAGATGAGCATAGGGCAATTGCTCCTTACTTAGGTATGCAAATTAGCTGCCTAAAGGTGGGTGGGATGAGTTTGTGTCCAGTCTCTCATGATCCATTCTTTTTCTCCAATCCAACATTAAAGAATGTCTGCCAGGGTCAATTACTTGTTATGAGGCTCTTCTGCAGTGCATAGGACAGGATTTACTATTGCATCAAGCTCTGTAAGTTTAATGACTCATGAAATGTCATACCAGCCTTTGGATATTTAAATAGAGGGAAGACTTGACAACACAGTGCAATTTCAGCCTTTATGTGAATTTGGCAAAGGCCAGGCATTCTGCAGTTTGCTCCAATGTTCTCCTTGAAACAACTATTTTCAGGTAAAAGAAAAAAAAAAAGAAAAACAATTGGAGAAGAATACGCTAAAAGGCTTGAAATACATAGACATATTTTGTAAAATCTTCTAGTATTTTTGACTCGGACAGCTGATGGGCAGCCCCTCTACTGAGGTAGCTCAGTTCAGTGCATGAGACTCCAGTGAAAATGTGGCAGTTCATTATAATTAAGATCTGCCCCTGTAATAACTCTGATAATTTTGTACCTTTGAGCTCACCTCGCTGGCTTGAAAAACAAATTGTATTTATGTTTTGGCCACTAGGCGTCAGAGAACTCATTGTAAATGAAACACATTCTGCTATGGGCTTCAACTTCATACAAGCTGTTATTCATGAACGGCAATCTGAGAGGATAATTCTTTTGGGATTTTAGAAGTGCTGGGATCATCCCACCAAAGACAATTTCCTTCACTGTATTCCAAAAAGCAGATGAGTGCTGCTGAGTGGGAGTCAGTACAGAGCTGCTCAGGAGTCCCAGACTGCTTATTTTGCAGGGTGGTGTTCCAGGCATTCTGACAACAATAGGAATTGGCTAGTTAAAGCTCTTCTGGTTTTTCCTCTTTGTTGCACAGTTCCTTCCAGCGTGACTGGAGTAACAGTAAATAACTCAGGTCGCAGTGACTACCTCAGTGTTTCTTGGCTGCCAGCTTCTGGAGATGTAGACAGTTATTTGGTAACACTCTCTCACGATGACCAGATTGTTCAGACTCTCACCATTTCCAAATCCTTCAGTGAATGCTCCTTCAGCAGCCTTACTCCTGGGACGCTTTACAATGTGATGATAACCACGAAGAGTGGGAAGTATGAAAATTATTCCTTCAGCCAGGAACGAACAGGTAAAGAGAGTGAATACAGTCACCGTAACTACTTCGTATACCCATTGTCAATGATCTATCAATACCTGAACAAACTGGGATGGGTGAGTAGGGGTTGGATGGTGAAACCATAAAATTACAGCTTTACAGACTTAGTCTTGTTCTTATGCCCCTACTGCTGCTTTATGTCATACAAAATTAATTTAGCACAAATAAAATCCATGTATCAGTTCTCATGAGTGAGCACAAATCATGTGTCAGTTTTGGCTCAAATGCATTTCCCTGCCCTTATCCCCTCTACGTGGCTCTTCAAGTTTATCCTGCAGAGCATCCCCCCCAAAAGTTACTCAAACACTGAAAGAACAGGATAGGAGCTAAGTATTAAAATATCAATAAGGTGTCACATAAATGAGTAACACCCATGCCTATTATTTTTGGTCATGTAACATCCACATCGATGGTTTTGGTCATGCAGTATTCAAGGAGATTATAACAGGAATAGAGAAATTTCAGACAAGGGTGGCAATAATGATGGAAAACTTCTTAAAACTTCCTCAAAGATTGAAAAGACTGAGACTTTACACTTGATAAACCAGTAGAATAAAAGAAAGGTGGCAAGGGGTGTTAAAAAGACAAAGTATCAAATTAGTGCAATTTTCATCTTCTCATGATGTAAGTGAAAATCCACAGGACAGCTATTTAAATGAGGAGAAGCAAATTCAGGACTAGTGTGAACCTGTGGAACTCACTGCTCTAAGCAAAACAGACCAAGTTCCAGAAGACCAAAAATTGGAAAGGCAAACTATTGTCATATGACATAAAGCAGCCTGGAAACTGCAGAGTTACTATTTTAGAGGGCAGGGTATTGCTTAAAATCCATGTTGTGGTCTTTTTGCAACTTCCTCAGGAAAGTCTGGTAATTACCACAAATATAATCCACTGCAGCAACTCTTGTTACTTCAGGAAATTATTGCTTTCTGAATCTTGAATTGGTTTTTTTTTTCTTTCAGTTCCTTCAAGTGTTCAGGGACTTACTGTTAGCAATTCAGCCAGAAGTGACTACTTGAAGGTGTCCTGGTTGCATGCCTCTGGATATTTTGATAATTATGAAGTGATCATCAAGAACAACAATGATTTCATCCAAACAAAAAGTGTCCCGAAGGATGAAAATGAATGTGTGTTCACCAATCTGGTCCCAGGGAGGCAGTACAGTGTCACAGTCAGCACAAGGAGTGGGAAATACGAAACTAGTGAAAGAGTCTATGGCAGAACAAGTAAGTAAATACCCCAGAAACATCCTCAGACACTCCAGGATTTTTTTCTGTTTACCATAGTTGGGCTCAAAAATCTCATATGATTTTAACATAGGATTTTAAGTGTGACTCTTTCAGAGCATGTCATGACAAATATGGAAAGCAGTATTTAGTTTATGACCAATGTTTAAGTTACAGACATATAGAAAGTGAAAGAAGAGACCTGCCCTGTGAATTTGGAAAGCAAATCTTGAAACATGGAAAACTGAAACACAGGTGTACAGATTTCCACATAAGCTTAGTATTTATGCTTAAACTATGCCAGAATGTATAAGACATTTTTTTCTGGTCATGGAAATGTATAAGGAAGAAGATAGGCTAGATCTCACTCTACTCAAATCACCCCAAGAACTGGAGTTGAAGAACATGAGGCAAGAGTGGTAAGGTGGCTAGTTGTGAGCCAGCAGGGATCTGGATGCAATCTGCTTGTCTTCACCTTGCTCTACATGTACAGATGTAGTAGCACTGGGCAAAAATAACTCACCTGCATTTGGCAGGAGTTGGGAACTGGGCAGTGTGGTGTTGCATCACATAGACAGCTTGCCTCGGGTCTCCACTAGCTCACGCCGCTTTGCACCACTTTTGTTGTATGTGCAGATCCTACTCAGTTTTGTTGGCTATGCAAACTCCCTGCAGGCTCTGTTATTATTTGCTCATTATTTTTATGCTGATAGGTTGTGGACTGCCTGTTCTGAAATGGGACCTTCCAGTGTTAGATACGGTGCAAACCACAAACAGCAACCCTTGCAAATAAGTGCAATCTACTGGTTTTCCTAGGGAGCTGAATGAAAAGTTTTAGCTCAGGAGCATGACCTCACAGCTGTTTCTTTTTGCTATGAATCTGGTAATATGTTCTGAGAAGTTTCCTATCTTTCTTCTCATCTCTTCAGTGCCAGAGTCAGTGAAGGAACTGACTCTTAGTAACAGAAGCACAGAAGATCTGCAGGTAACTTGGTCAAAGGCTGAGGGGGATGTTGATAAATATGAGATTCAGCTCCTCTTCAATGATATGAAGATTTTCCCACCCATTTTCCTTGGGAACACCATTGAGGAGTATTGGTTCACAGCTCTGACTCCAGGACGTCTATACAAAATTCTTGTCTTGACTATCAGTGGAGATGCACAACGTGCTACTTTCATAGAAGGCCTGACAAGTAAGAAATAATGTGGTATCGAAATGTGTTGAGGCTTCTCTAGAGCAAAGAATGAGGCACAGAAAATCAAGGGAGAGCCATGATCTACCTTGAGCTCCTGTAACACTGACACAGAGAGAGCAGATCTCATTGAAAATCACAGTAGTACTTCAGCCAACTTGATCGGTGCTTAATAAAGCACACAGGCACCAATATTTTATTTTTGGCAGATAATTTTATTTGCTGCAATGGAATGGTATTGAGATGTCAGTGTTTGGATTTCTGTTATTCCCATGCATGCCAGTTGTTTGCTTAGTATCTCTAGCTAAATAACTTAAGCTATTTTACTCTCTGTTTACCAACCTGAAATGAATGTGTGAGATTATAACTGCAAAATGCCTAAGTGAGTGTACATAAAGACCTTTGATTTTCTGAGATGTCTCTAAAGTGTCTTTCAGAAAAGAAGGAGGCTATCCAAATAAAAGAACATGCAAACTTTTTTTCTGTTTAATTTACATTTTCTTTACTTTTCTTCCTATAAACACGTAGAATTGCTTTTCTAAAATGGCACAATCCTACACAAATGCCTTCAGCTTTACTTGTGTTTACCTATGAGTGAAATTACTTGTACCTGTAAATGCTCTTTGTCCTTTGAATCATTTGCTGTGGCCATAAAAAAGTAGGAATTTAAAAGTCTGAATCAAACAAGAATTTTGTGAGCAGGTGCCTTTGTGTTCCTTCTTTTTTTCCCAGTTCCAAGTGCGGTCAGAAACATTCATGTGTCACCTAATGGCATGACAAACAGCCTGAAAGTGAGCTGGACTCCTGGAGGTGGAGATGTTGATTCCTACACAGTGACTATATTTCAGCAAAACCACCAGCTTGATTCCCAGAGTGTCTCCAAACACGTCTCTGAGCACGTGTTTCACAAGTTGGAAGCTGGGGAGCAGTACCGGGTTGTGGTGCAATCTAACAGTGGCACCTTGCACAACAGCTTAGCAGCTTTTGGGAGAACAAGTACGTTTCTTTTGAGAGAAGGAAAAAGTTACATTTTGTCTTCCCAGAAGCTGACCCTTATTTAATAATGTTTATGAACATACCATTGGGTATGGGGAGACCCAGACTCACGAGAAGTTTTTATCTCAAAGAGTGTGAGTCCTCACTCTTGCAAACACTTATGCATGGCTCTGTTAAAACCAGTGAGATCTGTCACGTGAGTATTTTACCTGGGTAAATGTGTGCGACATTCAGATCCCCAGCCCAAAGTGTGCCTTTATATGATGAATAGAGTTACAGCCCTCCCCAGTCCTGTGCCTGTACTCATCCCACACATGCATCTGCAGGGCTCCCTGTAGTCAAATACTGTGTTCTAGCAGAGCCTATTGCATGGTCAAGGCTTGTTAGATAATGTATTGCCCCAATATACTCCATGACAGGACACGCAAACAGTAGAACACCTTGTTTTTAATCCCTCCTCTCTCTTTAGCACCTGCATGTGTTTGGTGTGGCATTGACTTTTGTGCAACAGCTGCTGGGTAACATTTTCTGTTTGTGCCACTGTTCTGCACCAATTTACCACTTCTTTATTTTTCAGTTCTTTTTCACATGCCTTTCTTAACTGTTTTGGTCAGTTCATCTCGCTCTCCTTCTCCCCCTTTTCATGGTAATTTATGTATATCGCTTGCTTCATGCCCAGTTCAGACATCCATGATGCTCTGTAACTTCATCTGATTGTATTTATGTCTAGGAATTATTTGCTTGTGCAAACATATGCACAGATATCCCTTTTCCCACAAGTGAATGTGCACATGTATAAAGATATTCTCTATTAATTACTCTATTCACAGTTGTGTATTGAATGGTCCATATTTCACCTGGTAATGTCCTGCCTTTAATTGTTGCTTCCAGTTCCAGCCTCTGTCCAGGAATTATTAGTCCATCATGCCTACAGCAGTCACTCCTTGTTAGTAACCTGGCAGAAAGCTCCTGGTGTAGCTGAAAGATATGACATTCTGCTCTTGAATGAGCAAGAAGTCCTCCTGAGCAACAAATCAGAGCCAGCTACTGCCAAACAGCACAAATTTGAAGATTTATTAGCCGGCAAGAAGTATAAAATACAAGTTTTGACAGTCAGTGGTGGGCTCTTCAGTAAAGGAGCAGAAACTGTTGGTCGAACAGGTAATTAGAACATCTCTCTTTATTTATAGCTCCCTCAGTCAGATACCATTAAATACATTAATCATCGGTGTATCCAGATTCTGAAAAGATTCCAGTAGGAATAGACATGGATATTTATGCATCATTTTTCCTGATATATGTTTAGTATGTGAATGTGCAATTTGTTAGCACAATAATGTGGCCATGGTTCATAATAGGGATATTGAACCAAAGCGCTGAATGCTTCCCCCAGTCTATCTGTTATGTAACCACATGAATGCTTTAATTGTCATCAAGTTTTTAATTCACAATCTCAAGGCTCTTAGCACAAGATTTGATGTTAATACACACCTCTAAACTCAGAGCCAAGTCTTCCAGTCTTTACTCAATTAAAGCTTCTTGTAGAAACTAATGGGCAGTTCTGTGTGAGCATAGTCTGGCAAACCAGGCCTGGTGGGAAATATAAACATTGTATTGGAGAGACTCAGCGGCACCTCATAAATGCCTTCCCGTTGCTTCTGAAAGTTGATGTTGACATTACTGAGCTATTTGTGGCTTAATTGAAATGTATTCCAGCCATGAGTTGTTACTTTATTAAAGGTTCAGCTTAGTGGCTAGACACTTTAATATTTTCTCTTGCATTTATCCTTCTTTTCAGTTCCAGCAGCTGTCACAAACCTGAAGGTCACAGAGAACACCACTGACCGACTGTCCTTCAGCTGGAACACCTCACAAGGGGAGCTTGATTCATATGACATCTTCCTATACAACCCAGACAAGTCCCTTCATGACAGGATTTCAGGAGAGCAGCACCTCCAGAAATGTTCATTCCAGAACCTGCGGCAAGGCAGGATGTATCGAATGGTGATTGTTACCCACAGCGGAGACCTCACTAATGAGTCGTCTGTCTTTGGAAGAACAGGCAAGAAAATCATCTATCATCTCCAGTGTGGTGCTAATGGGGAACACCAGTGAGCTGGTCTGAGCCTCTAGCATGAACACCTAGATTAGAGCAACTATTAGAAATATCAAAATTGGCTCTTATACATGAAAAACATTAGGTAAAGAAGGTGGTAAATTCTGAATGATGTGATTACAGAAGGAAAATTGGAGCGATAGTTCCCAGGTACTCAGGTCAGGAGAAGGACATCCCAATGTATGCTGCATAAGACTTAAAGGAAAACAGCTGTTTCCCATCCTAGAAGCAATATTGGTCTGTGAGTGGAAAAAACAAAAGGCAAAGCAAGTAGGGTTAACAGGGTAGACAATCTACCAGTGAAGTAAAACTTGTTTCCCCTGGGGAGCTCTGGCTGCTGCTCCATGCTTGTGTAGCCACACGTGGGAAGCAGAGTTTCCTAAGCGGCTCTAGCAGCCCTGACACTGTGAAACCTCTCTTTATCCTCTGAGGCACCATATACTAACTGCTGTGTACCACTGCCTCTGCACTTTCTTTAGCTACCTCAGAACTGGATGTTTCCAAACACTGACTGGGAAAAAGCTGCTTAACATTTGCAAAACTATCTATTATAAACATTTCAGCCTCTTGTGGGAACAGTGGCAGTTCAAAGTAAGAAAGGAAACTATTGAGATATACTTCCCCATGCTTCCTGGCTTTTTGGCCAGCTCTGGTGGCTGTCATTACAGGATTAAGTGTAAGGTCTGCTTGACCTTGTTGCTTCTCCTCACCCTAAGGAAGTTCTACATGAAGTAATATACATCCCCTTTTTTTTCAGTGCCAGCCCCAGTTGTTGGTCTCAAGGCATCTAACCGAAACATGACAGACAGTCTGTGGTTCACCTGGGGTCCAGCAGCAGGAGATGTTGACTTCTATGAGCTGAATCTTTACAACCCAAATGGGACACAGAAAGAAACATGGCACAGGAAAGACCTGAAAGAATGGCATTTCCAGGGGCTTATTCCTGGCAGAAAGTACACTCTGGTTGTGGTCACTCACAGTGGTGACCTGACCAACGCAGCAAACGCTGAAGGAAGAACAGGTAAAAGACACAAAAGCTTTGGGATTTTTCTTTAGTGCCATCTGTCAGATTTCATATTAGTTCACAACTATGAAACAGACTTATTCTGAGGGAGGATTTATGGTAAGAGTCACTGAAGGTGTGAAGATAAAGGATATCCTTAAGGGTATTAAACCCTTGTGTGATTTTGTTCAGCACTGTTTTTCTTTCAAAGGCTCAGGAATGTGTAATCATAGAATCATAGAATCATAGAAAAGACGTTTAAAGACCATCCAGTCCAACCATTAACCTAACCCTGCCATCCCACCACTAAACCATGTCCCTAAGCTCTTCATCTACACGGCTTTTAAATACTTCCAGGGATCAGGACTCGACCACTTCCCTGAGCAGCCTGTTCCAGTGCTTGACAACCCTTGCAGTAAAAAAGTTTTTCCTAATGTCTAACCTAAACCTGCCCTGGCACAACTGAAAGTCACCACCATCAGCACTGGTGCAGTAACTGGCTGTGTACACAGGATAATATAAACCACTTTGCGATGCATGAAGAAAATAATGCATGTTTGATCTTGTCTTGTGTAAAAATTTAAGGTATCTTCTTTCTTTTTTTTTTCCCCTTTCCCCCGCCCCTTTCTGTGTAGCACCCAGCCCTCCCAACACTGTATCCTTTACTGATGTTGCAAACACTTCTTTATCAATCACCTGGCTGGGTCCTCCAGACTGGACAGACTATGATGATTTTGAGTTGCAGTGGCTTCCAAAAGATCCCCTCACAGTATTCAATCCCTACAGCAGCAGCAAATCAAAAGTACGCATCATCTATGGTCTGCGACCGGGAAGACTCTATGAGTTCAGTGTCAGAACGGTCAGTGGCGACAGCTGGAAGACATACAGTCAGTCACAGTCTGCAAGTGTGAGAACAAGTAAGTAACAATTTCCACGGCACCCTAACACTCAGCTGGAGAAGATGCAAAGCTGTTAAATCTTACCAATTCCTTTCACAGACAGTAACTTCCATTAATAAATTCATGAATGACTGGTGACGAATTCAGCTAGACTCTAAGCCCTTGCTGCCTGCAAGGTCAACTGTGTAAAGATTAAAAATGGACATACATTTGCAATCTTCACATCCAGAGTGGGTCTGTTTGGTTGTAGAGCCTGAATCAATCAGTTTCAGGGGTAAAATAAGGCTGAATATCCAAACTTCTCTGACATTATTAGGGACAGTAGGATATTGAAGTAATCAAAGTGTTTCTGAATGATCAGACAGGAAGGATGAATGAAACCCTGCTGTACTAGGTTTGAAACTGGAATCAGTGTTTCACTGCTTTGCATTTCTGTCAGTGTCTGTGGATCCACATCAACCCTAGCTGTCTCTAGCAACCTCTGTAGCAGACTGATTTGAAAAAGTGACCTGGAATTGTAAAAATAACTGAGCCTTGGCAAACCCTCGTGTCACTTGGTGCGGAATTCAGCTCCAAATTGGCATCTATGTTTAGTAAGCTGAGTGGCTCTTTAGACTTCATTCAGCATATTAATTAAAATGAGAGCATTGCTCTTTCACCTGTATTTAACCGCTTAAGTGTTGGTGTTTGCCACCTGAAAGTGAAATACCATCCTTTTTACATGTCGTATGTTATAAACGATGCTCCAATATTATATGGGTATACTTCTGTGATATGCCTTAGTAATATGGACACCCCACATGCTACCCAGGAAAACTGATCAGTCATGAGATGACAGTATTAGTATTGACTGATACTGTTGACCACATGTAACCTCAAATAAGTTGTAACAGCGTTCTAGAAATCCATTGCTTTCCAGTGTTGCTGTTCTTGTTAAGACTTCACCAAGTAGTTTTGTTTGCTTGTTTTCACAATGACTGAAGCTTCACAAACCTGATGAGACTGATGTCACTAGATCCAATTTCAGATGGCTAAAATGAGTAAGACTGCCTTGCCTAATAATCAGGCAGCACACATTTGCAGGAGAGATGCCGAATCTAGGGGCCATGGGGTGAGCAGAGTGCATGATGCCTGTCCCTTTTCCCACTGAGCTTCAGCTTCTCAACATTCCTCTAGAACCAGACAAGATACAAAGTCTTCATTGTCGGCCCCAGACCTCTACTGCCATTGCATGTTCCTGGACTCCTCCTGATTCTGACTTCGATGGGTATAGCGTCGAATGCAAAAAACTGGACACTCGTGAAGTGGAATTTTCTAAAAGGATAGAAAAAGACAAATCTCTGCTTAATATCATGACCCTCGTTCCCCACAAGCGATACCTGGTGTCCATCAAGGTGCATTCTGCAGACATGACGAGTGAAGTAGTTGAAGACAGCACCATCACAATGATCGACCGTAAGTGGAATTCAGAGTTGCCGTGAAGGGAGGCCATGAGCAGCAATAAGCAATTGCTTGTGTTGGTTAGACAGCAAAAGAAGTTCTGAACTCCACAATTGCCAGTATGTGGCACTTGTAGTCTGATGGCCAAAATAGGGTGAACCTGTCCTTTGATCCCTGTTGTGACAGACAATACAGGATTTTAACTATATTGCCTCTCATTACATTGCCAGACCTGCTCATTTCCAGGCTCATTCATGAAATACAGCCTGAGAAACATAAAAAAGTATCCTGTCACTCTGATGTTCAGCACCAAAGATGTCCTTGTCATCCCACAACTTTAATTGTCCTCATGTTTGCTGCTTGGCTTCCTGTACCTGGCTGTTTCCCCTCACAGACAGTAGCCGTCCTCAGCAAAAAGATCCCTCAGTAAGGACACTGGATTGTGGCATTGGGTCCTCTTTGGGCTCTCTGTACACTCTTCTGAGATGCAACCTGACCAAATCACCTGTAGGAGTTAGGCCTGAGGGAAGACCACAGATTTCCAAAGCATGTGCTTTGAAACAGTTTCTGCAGTTTCTCCACCCGTAGGCTGCTGAGTGGAGGGTAGTGACAGCATCTGCTGGTGCTTCTGCACTGCCAGGCATCACCGCAGTCAACAGCCTGCCATTGATGGCCCTAGAAGCTGCTCCAATTTTTGTGGTACCTGTGGATTCAGTGGCACAGCACAACTCAGGGGCCTGAACCACTCCAGGGCTGAACTTCTCAAAAATGACAGGACGGCCAGGAGGCCTATTCAGGGATGCCTCTGTAGCTGCTTATTGAAAGCCACGTTTGTGTGAAATGCTAGATCATAAAAATTATGTTTGGTTTGGGAGCTAGTGAGCTAACCTACAGAGTTCAGTCACCAACCCACCTTCTCCCTTCCCCCATCAATTGCCATTTAATTGCAGCCATGTCATCTCTTTCCTCTACCACAAATTCAGATGTAGTAAGAGCTAGCTACTTATGTCACAAGAAGTAAGACTGAGTCCTTTTTGAAGGTTAGCTGTTTCACATTTGTTCTTACTTGTTTTGAATGCTGCTGCCTTCCTGGGCTCTGGTTAACACTGGAGGCCCTACCTCAAGGGAACACAAAAAAATTGCAGCTAGGCTTTGTAGATCTAAGAGGTTTAGCTAAACAACATATAAATGTGTGAATTATTGAAGTTTAGCCACCTGCTTACATAAGCGGTATGTTTCCCATGCATGCAATATAGTTTCAGTAATACAGATTTTTAAAAGATTCAGCAGCGTAGATCCTTAAAATCCCCACTTTTGCTGCACTGATTCTCTGAAGGTTTTTCCCTATATACTTCACTTTGCAGTAGTTCTGCTGTGTCACTGAGGTGTAGCCTTCTATCGTACAAAGAACATTTCCTATGGAAATTCTGCAGTCAGTCTGGAAGATGGTACTCTATAGTTGAATGCTGTATCTGGCTGACTCAGGGCTGTTCCTCTGGAAAAGGAAGCAGAAATTTAGATGCTTGAAATAGGTAACTTCCTGTAGCGAGTGTGCTACATAGCCTCCAAACACCTGGCTTATACTTGTCATTTTTAGCAGCTGCAATATCTAATTTTGTAGATTTAGCAAGAATTTAATGCATTTCCATGTGGGCTTTTGCAGGAATTCCTACGGAGGAGCTGCCAGTGTTATTATAGTTAACTCACTGTTGGTGTGTTTCATCCTTTGGCAGTTTCGCTGTGGGAGGTGAAGATACTTTCTTGATTGCAAAGAGAATAGAATCAGAGACTTGGGTCCAGTCAGCTGAGCTTTATTAAGAGTTGAATTTCCCTTACTAGGTCTAGCTCACAGCACATAAATAGATAATGCTTTTCTCTTTTTTTTTTTTTACTTCTTTTTTTCTTTTTTATTACTCAGGTCCCCCTCCCCCACCTCCAGACATACGAGTGAACAAAAAAGAGGTGCTGATTACCAAATCCTCCATCAACTTTACTTTCAACTGCAGCTGGTTTAGTGATACTAATGGAGCTGTGAAGTATTTTACTGTGGTTGTGAGAGAGGCTGATGGTAAGTGTCATGATTTAATACCATTCTGGTCTATAGCTTATAGGAGTTACATCACTACACAGCAGAGGAGCTTCTCCTCATCTAGTGACTGAGTTCCATAGAGGCTTTGGATCTATGACTGCTCCCTAAGCCTGGGGACTTAGGAGCTTCTGAGTCTTCTCCTCAGAGGGTCAATAGCAACTGCAGAGCCAGAAGCAGTAGTTAGCTTCTGTATTCTAGGTTATGATCTCATGTACGTCCAGGAAATTTCCACAGTAGGAGACTTATGTTGGATACCATTGGCAGTGGACAGAGAATAAACTGCCTTGGTGTGCACAGATCTCAAAAGGTAGTTTAAATGTTAGGTGGGAACACTAAGGCAAGTCTTTTGGAAGACCTCAGTAAGCCATGCTGAGAAGGCAAAGGTAGCATCTCCCAGGTGGTGTTTGCTTACTGAAGAAAATGACTTTGCATGCAGCACTGTGAAACAGAACAGAAATTGCCCTTGTAGCATGCGTGTAAACTTCCCTTTCTGCAGTTGACCTGTATGTGACAAAACAGACGGATGTCTCAATGCTTAATACGCTGTTTTTAGAAGTGGCTTCATTTACTGGCATGCCAGGACATGTTTTGTGACCCCTGAGAAAGTTTCTTAATCTCTCTGTCCATCAGCCCTTAAGGAAGAAAAGCATAGATAATATTTCAGCTGTCTACTCTGTCATGTTTGGGCAGACTATAAAGCTCTTTGAGAAAGGGACTACTCATTGCTGTGGTTTTGCCTACCTGAGTCTTCAGCACATTATTGTGAGTTTCCATTCAGGGGACTCTTGGCATTGCCTATTGCAGCTTTTCTCTCTATACAGAAGACTTGTCAGTGTGTGAATTTTTTTTTTTTTTTTTTACTTGCTTTTTGAAATAGCTGTTGGAAGGATCCAGGATTCTGGATCACAGGGATTCCCACCAACAGCACAGGAAAAAATGTCATAGCACTGAATTCGGCCCATGCATGCCTATTGCAGCATTGTATCTGGAAAAGTTGCACTAAGGTCCTGTGAGGAAATCTGTCTGAAGTTCCCCAGAAAAATAATAGCAAGATTGGTACTAGAAACAAGGTACCCTAACCATGTAGCTTTGTATTCACAAGGTAGCCTGTGCAGACTCCAAGGAATGCTAGAAAGTTGGATAAGAATACGTCTGTCAACAGCTTGAGCCTATAAATTACATCACATTGGTGTCTGTGGTATGTAAACCTTCTGTCTTTCTCTGCACATGATGTAGGTAGTGAAGGACCAAAGCCTGATGAGCAGCACCCATTACCTTCCTACCTGGAGTACAAACACAACGACTCAATACGCATCTACCAGACAAATTATTTTGCCAGTAGGTGTGCTGAAAACCCTGACAGTGACTATAAAAGCTTTGACATTAAGCTTGGAGGAGAAATGGAAAATCTGGGAGGAAGGTGTGATCCAGATCAGCAAAAATTCTGCGATGGACCTCTAAAACCTCGGACTGCTTATAGGTTCGATTTATGTTGGTGGTTGTGCTCTGTCACATTATTAGGCATGGTGCTGTCTGGGGGCCTGATACACTTGAGCTTCTGTAGTTAATAACTGGGTTGTATGTTGTTCCTTGTGTTTCACTGTGAATTTATAAAAGCTTTATCCATGCCCGTGGTATGAACCAGTCCTTCACTAGCATGGGAATGGTATAATTAATTATGCACAAAACTCAGTGCAGTGAATAGGCTTATTTATTTCCCTCAACTTGAGGGGAAGCTCTCCTATATCTGCTGAATCTTTCTTTGCAAGGACCTAAGACCATCAGCTAAGACAGAAGAGTACCTAACAGGAGAAGGCAAGGATGCTTCACTCAGTCTGTTTGGCACCACTACCCTACACCAGTTCTTTGGAACAAGCTAGAAAAACCTGGAGGTTATTCTAACCTGTGGCACCATCCCCAGGCTCCAGAGCTAGGCCTAGGTTAGCTCTGGGGTGTGGAAAAGTGACTGCCAAGGCCAGGCTCAACAGTTATGCAGGCTGTGGGACCAAACCTGAGCTCCAGTGCAGCTCAGTCACGCCCCTCCCACAGGCAAACATTTTCCCAAGAGGTCTGCAGGCTGCTCAAGGGACAGACACATGGACAGAAGTCCCATGCCAGGCAGCACACATCGTGCCTCTCAGCTTCTTTTTCATCATCAAGACAGCACTACCTTACCACAGTCTGTTCTCATTAGGGCACATTTCCTAAAAATTCAGTCTGGGAAATACCCACATTACCAGGAGAACCAAGAGGACTGAACATTTCTCCATTATCACAGCCCTGTGCAGCCACGTGGAGGGAAAATATCTCCCCACTGAGAAGCATTCCTGAGTCCTCTCCCCACTGCAGTTTCTGCTAGTCCTGCCTTCAAGCATGGCCAAGCTGTGTGCGCCGGCAGCCAGAGCCCCATCCATTACCTCTGCCAGGGTACCTCAGAGCCCTCCATCTGTACTAGCTGGGCTCTCCCAGCCGTAGCATTTAACTTGGGCACCTGTATTAAGAATCGTCCATGGTCAGTGGAAAGGTGTTAGTTCTCTCTAAGGGGCAAAAGAGTTCTTACTTTTTTGCTGTTGGTTCTGAATATCTGATGAGCTCTAACGATAACGGTACTGTTTTTTTAGGATCAGCATACGGGCTTTTACCCAGCTCTTCAGTGAAGACCCGAAGGAACTCCCTAAACCGCTAACCGCTCCTTGCAGACACCTTTTTCTCTTTACCGATCACTACAGAGGCAGGTTAGTTTCAGGCTTGCTTTTCAATGGCTGGAGCATGTGATTATATATTGCGCCTCAGAACAGTCTGGTATCTAGAATTATTTGCAAGGAGCGGAACAAAAACAGATTGTTGTGCATGTCCTGAGGGCTGCTGTAAAATGAGGCTGGAGCCATGGATTATCCAGCCTTAGTTTTAAAATTCAGGAGGACTGCCTCATGGAGCTGTTGGCAGTAGAGGAAAGGGTAATAAACACTTAGTGAAGCTATCACCAAGAAAACTTCAAAGTGCACAAGAACCAAACTCGCATATAATGGGGCTATGCTTTCTTTTACTGTGGTTTGGAGTGGAAGAGGTTAGACATTAGGAAAAATTTCTTCACAGAAAGGGTTATCAAGCATTGGAACGGGCTGCCCAGAGAGGTGGTCGAGTCCCCATCCCTGGAGGTATTTAAAAGACAGGTAGACGAGGTGCTTAGGGACGTGGTTTAGTGGTGGGATGGCAGGGTTAGGTTAACGGTTGGACTTGATGATCTTAAAGGTCTTTTCCAACCTAAACGATTCTATGATTCTATGATTTTGCGTAATGTTTGGAAAAAATAAGGACAGAAAATCAAGGCCAGGTTTTAGCTAAGTGTTTAGATGCATTACATTTCCATTTTCTGTAGCCGATAATAACGTATCCCCTGAAAGTTGATTCTTTGATTCTTCATATCTTTTCCTCAAGATATATAAATACACTGTTTTGTTTGTAGAGCCTCTGTTTGGAGTTATTGAAGGTGTGAGTGCTGGCTTGTTTCTGATTGTGATGTTAGTGGCTGTTACTGCTTTATTTGTCTGCAGACAAAAAGTGAGGTAAGTTGAGTCTCTTTATCAGTCTCTGTTGTTGAAGTCAGGCCAAATTATATTCATTTAAGCAATACAATATTTAAAGTGTAACTCTAAAATTGGAGGAATGCACTGAACTATTCAACAGCTAAAGTCTGTGTCCCCCAACATCGGTACACAATAAGCATAGAACTAATGACTTACATATTAAGAGATCTGTATATTCTTGATTCAAATACCTACCAATGTTAGTCAGCGTTATCTCATAGAGGATCCTTGTAACTTTTAGTTTTCAGTAGGAGTCTGAATATTTGTGAAAAACTGGTTTATCATTCAAACAATGTCTTTTGTCAAAAATGAAATGTTTCAAATTAATTTCATCTGCATTGTAAACAGGAAGCTTCTGAAACTGTTCATTTAGACTTTATCATTTCAGTTCAAATATCTTAAGATGTGACATTACCTCAGTGTCCAAAAAATCAGTTCAAACTTTACTTCTCATTTTTTGTTAATTGTAGTTGTATATTTTATCTTATAGATGAATCTTAAATAATAGTGAATTTTAAATATGTTTTTAAAAAGTGAAATACTCTGTCTCAACTTTGAAAAAGCTTTATCCATTTAAACCTTTTCGCATGACTGAAATATCTGACATTATTGATACAAAATTCCTTGTGGTTTCTGAAATTAAAAAATTCAACATTTCCATTACATGGGAAACTCTGAAAAGCTGAAATTCAGTTCTTTTATTGATACAAGATTAGGTCTATTTTGTTTCGAATTTGCTTTTCAGGTGCTGGAATTTCACGTTGAAAAAAACCTGTTTTCTGACTAGTCATAGCTTTTTGCCAGAATGGATTTATCCTTTAGCAATGCTATTCTTAGGCTCTATGAACAAACTCAGTGTATTCCTCTATATGCTATCCAAAAAAGAGAGGCATAAATCATCAGCAATAGTGAATAAAGTCTGCTTTTGCATGTATAGACTTGTGCACTCCTAGCCATATCAGTACATACTGACATATAGAGCATGAATAGAGTGCAGATCAATGTGTTTTCCACTTTGCACATCTCATTGCATTCTTTTAGCATAGATAAACTTCAGATAGAGCGCGGTTTCTTGTTGTGAGCCAGTAGGATTGCAAGTACCAGTATGGTTTTCCCCTATCATATGTAAAGAGACAGTGTTCTCTGAGGGAGGTGTGTTGGAGGAGGAGGTGGCAGCAAAAGGATGAAAGGCAACACTGATGGTATGGAGTCAGTACCACTTCTGTGACTTTCCCAAAAACCCACTGTGGTGCTGCCACTTACTCCTGCTATGAACCTGGGCATCTCCTAGGGGCCTGGTCTGCAGAGTCTGAAAATCTACTTACACATTCCTCTCTGCATGTAGACAATCAACCAGTTGAGAGCCTGTCTTAATATAGGACACCCTCCTTAACGATAGGCTGGGCTGTGAATGTTTCAGAGCAAAAAAAAAGTCTTGCTGCCTGTGCACATGCATACACTCCGCATCGCTATTGCCAAACTAAAATACAAGAAAATTCTGTGCCACGGCTACGAGCAGTGTCACATGATCAGAGCCACAAATCAAAACAGACTTTCTCAAATTCCTTTTTTCCAAGTTGATGATGTAAGTTACGTTATTGGTAGCTCTTATCAGTATCAGGACATAACCCTATAACATAATATTGTCCTTTTTATTCCAGCAATGGCCACGAAAGACCAACAGCAAGGCTGAGCATTCGCAGGGACAGGCCACTCTCAGTTCATCTGAACTTGGGGCAAAAAGGGTAAAATCAAAAGTTTTGTTTCTAAGAGCACTGTTTTAACATGGAATCATGGATGAACAGTCACATCTGGTCACTCACTAATTAACTGTTTCTTTTTCTTTTTGAAATCATTTCTAGGAACCGGAAAACTTCCAGGTAAAGAGAAAAAATTAATACCTAAAAAAGCTTCTTGATAACCAACTGGATAAATTATGACTGTGATTCATCCTGTGATTTTCTTCCTCCTGTTGAATATTTTAGTCCGATCAAAGTCAGTCATTTTGAAGCACACTTCACCAAACTTCAAGCAGACTCCAACTACCTCCTGTCCAAGGAGTATGAGGTGGGATCCTAATATAGACAAAGGATTTGCTTTATGAAGGGGTGGGCTCAATGGGTTTATACATTCAAAAGGCCTGCATTTGTTTGTCTTATTCACACAAATCCAAATAAGTTTGAAAGTCTCGCCTGAACTCTACTTGTCCTAATGCAGAAACCAGCTCTTCATTTGGCGTAGCATCTTCTGGTTGGCAGCCTCTGCCTGACACCTATCTGGCTGAGGTCAGGAGCATTCATTTGTCTGGCATATCTGTGTGATACAGCATGGAAAGCGCCTGCCAGCCATGTGCTTGCTTTAAACCAGTATGATTAGCTATTTAATTCTCTGTCCATGGCCTTTGAGAGCTGATAAGCACTGTGTCCCCCTGTGTTGTCATGCCCTTTAATTATTTTCACCTCACATTTTATTCCTACTTTTTTTGCAGGACTTAAAAGATGTGGGTCGAAACCAGACATGTGACATAGCACTTCTGCCAGAGAACAGAGGGAAAAATCGATACAATAATATATTGCCCTGTGAGTTTTAGGTTTGGTTATGTAATATTACATCACAAGAGCTATTTTTCAGTTTTTTCAGCAAGCACAGTGGGAAAGAGAGTGCAGCCAATCCCTTCCCTCCTTTCTGTCAGAGATGAAATACCTCTGCCAGCTCAGGTTCTGGTGCTTGGAGGCAGATGATGTATGGCCCTGAATGGTTTCACACAGACCAGTAATTTCATTTCACACTAGGGATGTAATGACTAGCATTCAGTCTGGAGAGAAAAAGCTCCAGCTATTATGGGTATTCAGTCACTGCTGATAACAAGGACGGTAGAAATAACAGTAAGGTTGTTTACATACAGGGTGTCATCCATTCAGTGCTTTTTGACAACCTTGCCAAATCTTTCTTCTTCAGAGAACATGGCAAACCTACTACACAATGTAGAGCTAGTATGGTTCTGCATGGTAAGACACATGTGTGAGGTTAGCCCTGTTCTCCCGAGGCAAGACCTGTCATTGAGAGTTTCCCCCTTTAATCTCCTATCTAGCTGCCAGTTTTGGAGGTAGCACATGCTGTGCATCAAGAAGGAACACCACATGACTCGTTGCTCCACATGCTGCCCTGCTGCTGGATGTGGTATGTGCTTGGAGCACACCCTCACAGCATCTCCTGTGTGCTGCCTGCTGTGCTGGGCTGGGGAGCATGCCTGTGATGTATAAGAAGCAATGCCTGACTGAGATTTCACAAGTCAGTGACCTAGTGGCTTAGGCACTCTGTGCCTCTCTGTAGTACTGGGGATGCCACTGGTCCCAGGGAAGACAGTTGGCCTGCCCACACATGTTAGCTCAGGAGCCGTGCAGACCCCTGAAGCACTACCACTCTTTCAATGGCAGCACTGGGCACTGCTCTCCAGTACAGCACACTGCTGTCGGGATCAGAGGAAGATGCTGTTGTGGCTCTTCTGTTACCATAACAAATCCTATGCAACTCAGCAGAGGAATTTTGGGATATTCACTGCTTCCTTCTCACACATCCATCTCCTAGTCTTTGGAACACTCCACAGCACTCATGCATGAAAGAGGCAGTACAAATATAAACAGTGGTTCCTCTAAATTAGCCTTCCATATAAAATCCTTGTAATAATGCTGCCAGTCCTTTCACAGATGCATTTCTGTAAATGGGAGAGGGACTGAAAATCAAGACCTAGCCATAAGCCTCTTGTAATCAATTTCTTCCTAGATGATACATCAAGAGTGAAGCTTTCCAATGTGGATGATGACCCTTGCTCAGATTATATTAATGCAAGCTACATACCAGTAAGTGACTCAAGGATAGTATTTTACAGTCCTCCCTCCTGTGGTATAATTTGTCCTTCATCTAAAACTGAATATAAAGCTGGATGCTAAGGCTCCCCTCCCCCTTCATTTAGTCACTTGAGCTAAAAGTCTGAGAACTCATTTTGTGGGTGTGCTGAAAGGCTGAGTCTGACTGCCATTAAGTTAACTGTGAGTGATTTAGATAGCACTTAAGGACACTTCCTTGGTTTGCTATAGTTATGTAAGATAGCAAGTCTAATTGGCCAAGGACACATTTTTAAAGGTCACTGATTTTATACAGTGTCCACAACAAGTGTAGCTATCACTGCAGGTGGCATCCTCATTGTGGAGCTGTAGCTCATCCTGACAGTGTTGGCACCTTGCAGGATGGTGAAACTGGCTGAGATTACAATAATGCTGTTTGCCAGAGAATTGTGATTGATAATAGCAGTGGCTATAGCAATCCAGATTTCAAGCCAGAACTCAGCTAATTTATTAAAATCAGTAAATAAAACAAAACCTTCTAGTAGTTCCAGAATTGCTTGAGACTGTGCTGAACACAATAGAACAATGAAAAGCTTTGACTGCCACAAAAGGAACAGTATTTAGATATACTGCCGCAGTCTCTTCCTTTTCTCTGCTCCAGCCAGCCTTCTGCTTCCAGGTCCAAAGCAACAATTTAGCTCTCAAAACTATTGTCCCAGCAAGGACATTGTTGCTGCAGAGCCCTGGCTGCAGCCCCATGGCTTGTACAGTTGCTAGATCTTTTTTTTTTCTGCTTTTATGGAAACTAATGGAGTTCTCTTTACTTGCAGGGCAATAATTTCCGCAGGGAATACATAGCGACTCAGGGCCCTTTGCCTGGTACCAAAGATGAGTTCTGGAAGATGGCATGGGAACAAAATGTTCACAATATTGTCATGGTAACCCAGTGTGTTGAGAAGGGCCGGGTGAGCAGTGACTCTTCTTTATTATTAATGACTGTCTGAACATCTATTAAAAGTTTATGCTTATTATTTGCACACTAATGCCAAAGGCCCCAGTCAAGGAGATATACAGGAAGAGATAGACATAATCTAAAGACTGGAAACATATTAAGGCTGCGAAGTGAGGATGCAGTGACCATGCAAAGTTCATGCAGCATGTCAAGGCTGGTCTCTAATCCTGCACTTTGCTCACTAGTACTAATATAATATAATCCCCTTAAGCATGTAGAAGGACAACCACCAGCAAAAAATGCCTGTTTATCACATCAACTCCAATCAACTACTGCTTTAAATATAAGCTCTAGAGAGCAAATGTTGATCATTAAATACATGATGCATAAGCCCTGATGTAGTAAGCAGAGACCACTCACGCACTTAACAGTCTTACTGAGTGCAAGTGTAGCTAGGTTATTTACCTGTCTCAGCAATCCACCTCCTCAAGTGTGACCACATCCTGCACCCTTTGTAAGACAAGGACTAGATCTGTAAAAAGATTAAACCAACTTGTAGTAGTGATTATGTAGTGGCACGTATGGGGATATTTCCTTTTAGTTTACCATTTTTTCTTGAGGAGATGGTGAAAGCAGATGCAGGACAGGCAGCCACTTGTCTTCTGCATCTCACTGGCTCTGAGTGGGATCCCACTGTTGTGTCTCTCGAAGAGTCAGGGAAATGGGCACTGGAGGCCTAGCTGTCATCCAAGCAGACCTCTGAGAAGAGCTGGCACAGAAAATGTTGTGTCATCCAGAAGAGGGCATCAGTGAAGTGTTTCCCATTCCCCCATCACAAACATCTATGATGAGAACTTCCACTTCCTAGCCCCATCCTAGCCTGTTCCCATTGCAAGCCCTGTTCATTGAGCTGACATGGCAGGGGGTGGCATCTCTCTCTGAATTCAGCTGCTGACGTTCTTCCTTCATCCTCAGGCACAGGAGATCCGAAGCCTGCTTCTGCCAGTGCTGGGTGGAGGCATTGTTTACAGTTGTTGACTGATTTAGTTGACACTAAATCTATCTTTTTCTGTGTCCCTGCAGGTGAAATGTGATCACTACTGGCCCCTTGACCAGGATTCCTTGTACTACGGAGACCTGATCGTTGAGATGCTGTCTGAATCGGTGCTCCCAGAATGGACAATACGAGAGTTTAAAATCTGCAGTGTACGTTTGCATTCTTTATTTTTTTTTTATTAACTGGCTTAAAAACACCTGCAAGACTGAATTAGGAAGGTTTCTTTTGCTGAGGCACAGTTGCATCATGCCCAGCTTATCTCTGGTGGCAGCTATAGCATTTGCTTTGAAGGTGCATGTTACGTGTGTCCCACTCCTCTCTTGTTGGTTCTGATGACCCACATTTTTGTATCCCAACAGGAAGAGCAGCTTGACTCAACAAGGCTCATCCGGCACTTCCACTACACTGTCTGGCCAGATCATGGTGTGCCGGAGACCACCCAGTCCCTGATTCAGTTTGTCAGAACTGTAAGGGATTATATCAACAGGACCCCAGACACAGGACCAACTGTCGTGCACTGCAGGTATGTGCAGCAGCAAAAGGTCAGCGGCACAGAGCCTTTGTGCGTACCCTTGGGAAGATCCCAAATATTCATCCCTGTTAGGCCATGGGCAGCCACAGAACCTGAGAGAGAGCTGGTGGGCTTAAGTCTCCAGATACATCAGAGCAGCATTCCCAAGACGCATGCACTCACTCACAACCTCACCCTGGAGATGCCCCAAAAAGGATTCTCAGGAAGCTACTGTGTCTCTCTGGGACCACTGGAGAGCACCAAAGGTGTCAGCAGCTGCCACTACTCATAAGCTTTTGCATTCTTAAGTTGCCTGTGTGCTGCTGTTGTGGCCCAACATCTGCATCATAAAGAGGTGTTCTGAAAAGGCTGAATCAGGCTACGTATGAATGTTGAGACTAGCTGGCAGATCCACCCCATCCCCCATTCTGCCTGAAACTCCATCTCCTTACTGCCTTCTCACGCTCTTCTGCTATTCTACCATCTCTGGCAGCCACAGGGCTGCAGTTTTTCCTCTGCTCCATGATCCACCCCTACACACAGAAAAGGCAAAACTGGACTGCCTGATCTGTGATCCACTGGCCATCTGCAGCAGAATATAGGATTACAGAGTGAGAGAGTGCAGTGTAGTGCTGTGTGTATCTTCTGATAAAGCCATATGCTCACTGGTGCTACCTGAATGTACTACCTGAGCCCTCCACCCATTATATGGGCTGAGGCATGTATCTTACATGACCCGACCTGTGTCCGCCTATACATCATGTGCTGCAACGCGTCAGATGACTACTGTATCACTGGCAGGTCAACCTTCCTCTTCCCTGCCTCCTGTCTCTAAACCCCACATCCTGGCATTTCAGGGATGTGGGGACTCAGGGATACTTTGCCTTACTCTGCCCTTCCATAAGGCACAAGCCAAAGTATCTTTTAGAATCCAGCCTCTGGTTCATCCCTAGAGAGAAGAGGTTTAATAGTTACAGTCAGGTGCAGCCTCTCAGTGTATCTTGATGACTGAGTTAATCCAAAGCAGAAAGCAGTACTGGCAGTAGCAGAGATACCTCTACCATCTCTAACTTTTCCTCCTTCCTAAACAAATTCCTCTATAAAGTGTTTGAAGTCTCAGAGATGCCATTTGAACAATGAGCTTCTCATGCTGGAGATCTGAACTTTACAAAAGTATCACATGAAGATAGTGAATGCTTTGATCCATCTCCTTTTAACATCTTTTGGGTTGTTTTCTTTTCCAGTGCTGGTGTTGGCAGGACTGGCACATTCATTGCACTGGACCGAATTCTGCAGCAGCTGGATTCAAAGGACACCGTCGACATTTATGCAGCAGTACATGATCTAAGACTTCACCGGGTTCACATGGTTCAGACAGAGGTAAGTTTTGGACAGCCTACAGTACAGCAACACCAGCTGCAGTATATAATAATTAGTCTCTCAAAGCACTTCACAGTTACTCCACTGTGAAATACCAGTTAGATATATTTTAGCTCTGTGAGAATTTCTAGTTAAGGATTGTTTCCATTGGCTCTCATACAGCAGGTCCAAACCATAGCAAGCGGTAGCTATGCTTCGCTTCCTATAGATTTCTCCTATTGGCACTGGCCCACAATCACCCCAGCAGTGTTATGCAGCAGACGCTTAACAGCACATTGTTGTGTTTGTGCAGTGTCCAATAAATGAGCTTTGAGCAGAGACAGGTCCTTCAGGGATGGGATTGGAAGACAAGCCTAAACCAGACAGATAGGTCAACATAATAGGGGAAAGGAATGGAGGGCAGAGAAAATTAGGTGTACTTAATTTTAAAACTCTAAGCACTGTGACCTTGTGGCTTTGCAGTTCATTTTTTATCGAGCTGCTCTGTCATTTTCATTAATGGTATTGGAAAGTTGATCAGCATTCTCCTAACATACTGTGCAAAAGCAAGTACATTTATTCTGAAAGTGCAGAAAAAGTATGTGTTTGGGATTTCTTTCTGTGCTTTTAAAACTGCAAGAAAATCACTTTACACTAATAGCAGCTAAACACTTAGGAGCTGATTTAATAAAGGCAAGTTGTGGAGGCAGTCTTTACGTTTTCCCTGTGAACTGTTAATAGAGGAATCAGAACAAGTTTGATGGGTCTGCCTGTAGCTTGATACTAATGGAGCTCTTTGTTGCAATTTGGAAATTAAAATATCAGTGACAGCACTTCCTGATAGATGTAAAAGTCACGCATGGGTATAAAGAAAGGCTCAAATGGGAATGCAGAAGAGAGATTTCCTGGAACTGTTTTAATCACAGAAGACCTCCTGTTGGAGGGGAGTCAGATTCTCAGCTTGGTCTGGGCATCCTCAGAGACAGATCCATCTCACACTCTACATTCCCATCAGCTGTAGTCAGCAAAGGCAAGACAGGCATCTCAGGAGGGTGGCTCTTTTCCCCTAGCTGGGAAAAAGAGGCAACTACCTCAAGAGCCTAGATTTGACACCAGGCTTGTAGACAACTAAAGTTGTGTGACACAAAGCCCACCTTTGGCATGAGCTTGACATGACATCTCAGTCAAAAGGCAGCCAGACCCAAGCAAAATACCTACAGCAGTAGTGAGAAGCACCCCACTATGCCACTACCAGCACTACATGCACTTCTGCTCCAAACCAGCAGTGGCTCAAGTCTTACCCAGATCCCTGTTGTAAACACTCCTGCCCCTGGAAGAATTCACAAGCAGCATCCCAGAGACAGGCTGACAGAAAGCTTTTGCAGCTCACACATACTCACCCCACTTGAGCTGTAACATGCTTGTAGACTGACCATGTAGCTGTGTCAGTGCATAGCCACTGAGCTGCTCTATTCTCAGCAAGTCTTATTAATCTGAACTGCCAGTTGCACCTGCATATGGTTTCTGATTTGGAACTGCCTTTCATCAAGGTATTGGAGCACAAGCAATACAATCTAACCTCCTGCAAGAAAATGAAGTAAATTTATCCTGGAATTTTATGATGATTCAAAGTTTGCAATGAGCAGTGAATTATGAAGTAATTCTTACACAGCTTTTAAGAAAAAGTGAAGGATGTGGGGATGGGGGCAAGAAAAGGTCTGCTCCACAAACTCCATTTGATGTGTGTGAAGAACCTAGTTCCTGGTGTTACTGTTCATGTCTTGGCTTCCACAGTGTGTTTGGGGGTTGAGATAAAAGCTAGGTCCCCATCTGTTGATGTGGTGCAAGCCAAATCCCACTGGGGAGCACAGGCCAGCAGATAGGGCTGTTTGCAATGAGATGCTGCAGCCGAAGCTCACAGCACCATCCTGTTTGACATTATGTAGGCACAGTAAAACAGCAGTATTGAAACACTGCCCGTGCTTCAGGCTTGGCTGAAAGCTGTTTAGGACAAGAGACTGGAGCTGGAGACATGCAGGGGAGTAACAGAAAACTGCGTCCATCAGCTCAAAAGGCAGTGGGCTCAGCACAGAAGCTGTAACATGGTCAGGGAAGCTGTCCACCATTTCTGTCCCAAATGGTCTCTGCCAAAAGAAGTGTCCATGCCCTGGCCAACTTTCCACCGAATTGGTGGGTGGGGATGCAGGATTCTGCTCCGCAGAGAGAGCAGCCGTATGTGCCTAACATCAGGCATCCTCACTTTCCCAGAGCCAGAGCACTGAGAAAAATGCACAGAACAATAGCTCTTGTGAAGAAAAAGTAGAAGATGTGGGGGGAGAAAATGTATATCACAGAATCACAGAATCGCAAGGGTTGGAAGGGACCTCGGGAGATCATCTAGTCCAACCCCCCTGCTAAAGCAGGCTCTCCTAGAGCATTCTACACAGGACTTCATCCAGGCGGGCCTTGAATATCTCCAGAGAAGGAGACTCCACAACCTCCCTGGGCAGCCTGTTCCAGTGCTCTGTCACCCTCGAAGTAAAGAAGTTTTTCCTCATATTCAACTGAAACCTCTTATGTTTCAGTTTGCACCCATTGCCCCTAGTCCTGTCGCAGGACACCACTGCAAACAGACTGCTTCCATCCTCATGACTTCCGCCCTTAAGATGTGCTTATTCTGAGAAATTATGTCATTGAGATAAAGTAATATCAAAAAGGTACGCCTTGATATATAAAGATGCTCAGCCTGATTTTGGGGTACCGTGCTGCGCTAATCAAAAACCGATAATGACCCATGTCATAAATCACAAAGAGTAGCAAAGCATGGGGACTTAATCTATCCTATCAAGGTAGTTTGATAAATAGTCAATAACGTTCTGACCCTCCCTATTTCGGTTGTGAATGTCATCTTAGCTCCCTTCTACGAAAGGCACTCTTCAGAAAAGACAGTCTGTCATTCTCCATGTAGTCAGAAGCAATCTTATAACTTATATTGGATCAAAAAAAATACTGCTTTTGCCAGAAAATTTGGGTTCATCAAAGTTCTATGAAATATTTCTATTCTATGATTCTCTTTATATATTGTGATAAAATTTTGTGGAAAATATTTCTTTTCAGAATAAAAAGTCAGGAAATTGTTTGTCTCTTCTATGTGCTTCCCTGTGCATATTAATTCCATTACACATAATTCATACCAAAACATTCAAAAGTAGTAGCTATCCAATACAGCTTCCTGTCAAATTATGGCTTATGATTGATAGAGGTTTCACTCATGACATGATCCATCAAAACATATTATCTTCATTTGTTTTACTGGTAGCAGGTGATCACAAAAGTTTACTGTATTACTAGTGTGAAGAGGAGATTAATTCCGGAAGTTTATTATAATTTTTAACACCACCCTTGATTTTGTGTGAGGGAGTTAGCCTATAATGATTTTTCACAATACAGAAAATTAAATTACAAAATTTCCCAGAGTGACTTAATAAAAATTATTTTGCAGTGTCAATATGTGTATCTACATCAATGTGTGAGAGATGTGTTAAGAGCCAGAAAACTTCGCAGTGAACAAGAAAATCCCTTGTTTCCAATATATGAAAATGTGAATCCAGAGTATCACAGAGGTAAGTGCAAGTTTATCCAATTAAAAAGTGTTTCAAATGCTCATTGACAATGTAATTAATTGAGAGGGCAAATTGTGCTGTCCCTTGCCATCGATATTTGTTCTCTTCCTGGACCTTCATTTCTTCACTGCTCTGCTCTTGTCACTCTTGCAATTGCATCTTCATTTCCTCCATTAGTAGTCACTATAACGTCTTTTCCTGCTCCTGCCTTACCTTCATGCTCTCCCTGTCTCACATTTCACAATTCCTGTGCTGTTGAGGGAACTGAACCTCTTCCCTATCATGATACTGGCTGCTTCCTTCACCTTACCAGTCTTTACATCATCCACTTCTAAGCACACCCAGACCACTGGCTGGGCTCACTGGGCTCTTCTGTCATTGATGGTGTTCAGTTTCTGTCCTGAATCACCCACATTTTCTGTTGACTGTATAGACGGGCCTAGGAGACTTCCCATCTGCCTTGACTGGATAACCTAGATGTCCAAGGCTGTGCTCTTTCCTCCTCCCCCAACTCTCCATCCTCATAGGCTCTTTTCCCTAGCTTGCATCCAGTCCCTGTGGGATAAGAATTGCAGGAGGAGCAGACCTGGCACTAGCACTGCCCTTCACATCCTGTTCTCATGGCTGGAGGACAAGTCTGGGGAAGCTGTAAGCAGAGGTGGCCTGTCTGTCCTGCTAGAGCTGATTCCTAAGGGCTGTAGAAGTTTCAGAGACAGACAGCAGGATCTAGGTAGCTCCTCGCATTTGGACATTGGGAATTGAAATTATATGATGAGAGATCAAAATAATTTTCTCACTGTAGCCCATAGAAATCAGAGTTGCCATCAACAGGTAGAGCAGGACTGGAGGAGACCAAGGACTGAAATAACCAGGGTTCCACAAGTTGGGAGTGCCAGCCAAAGCAGAGGTGGGATCTGCTCTTTAGCTGTCACATCAGTCGCCAGCCAGCGCTGCTGCCGCACAGCCACCTTTCAGAGCACTGTAGTCAGCTGGCACAGCTGAAGGTGAAGCCACCTGGGTTGTTCTGTTTTTTCTAATCTCAGGTTTCCTTGCTTTCAGATGCTGTTTATTCAAGGCCCTAAGAATGTTACAGACAACTGCTTTTGTGACCACGTTTGTTAACTGGGGGGTTGGTTTGGGGTTTTTTATGTATGTATTTCATGCACTAGAAAGGTGCCAGACTTTTCTGTTGAGACTGTGTATAATTTATTGGTCTGGTGATTTTTTTTAAAGATATATAATTTAAGTGTAACAGATATTAATGTATATAATTGTATTTTGGCATTATGTAAATATGTATTTTTTCTATATTGTTAATATTAAGCTTCAGATAATACTATTTTTTTCTTATCACAGTTTTTATGAACTGTTCTACATAAACTATTTTAAATTGTATGGCTAACAGGACAGCTGCGTTTGGGGCAGGTTATGTATTGGCATGTAACACAGGAAAAATCCTATAAGGAGAACCTCATTTTTTTTAACTAGTTCAGTGTTTGTGAGATGAAATAAGCTACTATTAAGCAAGGGAACAGTAGTCCTGTATAGGAATTGCAATGCTACTCAACACTTTAAACTTACTGCTTGTGATCTGATGAAAATGGGTATAACCCATAACACAATGACATACCTTTTACAGAACTCCTTAACAACCAAGCAAAACGGGGTCCACCTCACTAGAAGCAACTGTTTCAGTCTAACGTTACATAGTAGAAAAATATCAAACAACACATGCTGCCGTGAAGTCTAGCAGACCTTTCCCCCACACATGTGCTTTGAGGGGAGACAGGTCACATTCTGATTTCTTTGCACTGGTTTAAGAGAGCAGAATCAGACCACAGCCTGTGTCTGTGCATTTTCACTTGTGTACACTTATAGTAAGAAAGGTGTTCAAGGAAACGCCTCAGACATTCACGTTAACAGACCTGTAAGGATGTGAAGTCTGGCAACTTCTGTAGCTCATTAAAAACAACGCTGTACCATGACAGCTAAAAAAATAGAGAGATTATAAAGGTATTGAAATAAAGACATATAAAGGTATATATCCCCCAGTTTTACGCCACTGGCTTCAGCCTTAAGCTGCTGGCAGCATAGCTGCCTCGGCCTAAGTGTTGGTCTTCAAATGCCACTTGCTTTCACAGAGGGGAAGCATGGCCCCAGCATGTCCATGTAGAAAGACTCCTCCACTTAGATGTTGTGACACTCCTGATGTCACCACCACAAGGGCAGTTGGAGTAGAAAAAGGCTCATCAGTACACCAGGGATGTAGGCTGGCAGGGCTGTGCTGATCGTTGGATGACTCAAAGCGTTTAGTGATTAGCAAGAAGTACAATCGAAAAGCACTCACCAGGTATCCTGCCCAGCCAAGAGGATTAGGCACATCCCCTCTCCTCTGCAAAGAGGCTTCTCATTCAAGGGACTGATTTGAACACTATGTTCAGCTATTCTTTGTCTTTGTAAAACGCTCTTGAGACAAATAGCAAAGAGGCAGTACACAGTTCTCCACCACAAAAAGAAGGAAGGGCGTGATAGTTCTCCTTTCATATATAGTTCTCTTTAGCTGGAGAAAACTTAGCCTGCTGCTGAAGACAAGTGCCTAAATTTCACTTTTATTTTGGAGAGAAATAAATATTTCTGAAGGCCTCCAGAGAACCAGCCGATACACCTACGTGCCTAAATGAGGAACTGCTGTGGCCCTGAGCCAAAACTACTGTGATTTCACCATGACTTATTGGAGCCTCTCCTTGCGGTAGGACCACCTGCCTGACGACAGCTGAAGGAATCTGCAAGGCAGTGCTGACATAGTTTTCTTAAATCGTTCCAAAGCAGAACCAGCAGGACTGTGCACGTCCGTGTCACTCTGGTTTTCCTAGAGAGAAGGAAACAGCCTGATAATCCCTCCTCCTTCCAACTCCGTCTGGAGTCTCATCCTTTCTTGACCCAATATCCTCACATGTCTCAAAAGCCACCCTTCATATCAGCTCTCGCAGCTGCTCAGAACATGTAAGCTTGGTTAACCTTTGAGGTGTCTGTGTGAAAATACTGCTTGTACATTTCTCTTGTACACCCTCTTTGGTGCCAGCCAAACCTCAAGATTCACCACCCTTAGTGGGATCTGAAGAAGAGAACGAGCATTATAGTGGAAGCCATTTTCACAGGGGGAAATCTAAGCAAACCCACAAAGAAACGTGCACATTTTCTGCAGGCCCCTTTTTTCTCTCTTTCCTTTGCTAGATAGATTGTACGTTAGCAAGCAAGGACAAACAAGCGTGGCAGCTTTAGATCGATCATTGACCCTGCTAATAACAGCTGAACTTGGGGCATCTTGAAAATTGCCATTGTGTTACGTGTGCTGCATTTAGGCCTTTCTTTTCTCAGTGGTAGCTGGGGAATGAAGCTCACCATGTTAGTTACCAGCAGTACAATTACACTGTGAAGACGTACCAAATGTACCCTATAAATTATCTTGCACTATATATTACTGTGTCATTTTTTATGCTGAGGGAAATGGAATCCTCTCAGTAATATATGATCTGAGGGCAAAAGTCTGATTGTATACTATGTATGCACGTTGTTCATCATTTTCAGAAAGACACACATCGTTCTGCTCTTTCTTTTGACGTTGTTTCCCAGCCCCCCCACCCCCACCCCTGCACCTACAGAGTTCACAAATCTGCACCCACAATGATGATGTTGTAGCAGACAGCTATTTTCGTCTTTTCTCTCGGCTAATAATGGACACAGTTCATAAGCCTCTTCCTCCTCATCACTTAATAACGTGACAGATGACCTTAAAGACTCTGGCACAATGCTCTTGAGCAGCTTTACATCTCTGCCTGGCCAGGTCACGTGTGAGACTGTACACACACATCATTGCTCTGGTTCTGCTTTCTAGCCAGTTCTGCTCGTGTGAAACCAGTGTAAATCCACTGAGAATGAGTAAAAAGTATCTATGTAGCATTTTATTAATATAAGACACCTACTTATCAGTATGATTAATTATATTTACTGTGCCTCTGAGCTGAATAACAGGACTGATGGGAAATTGTTAATGTAACAAGAATGAACTTGAAGGAGCCTATGCACTGAACAGAGAGCGCTCTGAAGGAAAAAGACATCCTCCGCTGAAGAGGGTATTTCTCTTTTGAATGTCCGTGAACGATGTTCAGAATTCCCTTCTTGATGTTTCCCAATAATACTGTTATAAAGCAAGGCTTGTGTTGTTGCTGATCCATAAGCTGATTTGCACACTTGGAGCCCAGTCCTGTGAATCTCTGCATCGTCCGCAAAGCTACCTGAGTACTTTCATGAAAGTCAGCTGGAATGCTTGCCTGAAGAATATCATTCCATTTCTGAAGCACTTGCAGGGTTGGGCTTTTAGGTTAATTCAAATTTTTGTATTGAAAGTTATTTAATAATGAAAAAAAATGTAATAAATGTTTTTTAATCTGTGCAATACAGTTACAAGATCCACTACCGATTGTAGAAAAAAAAAAAAAAAGATTTTGCATAGCTGGAGTTGATAAATGATATTTTTTTGTTACTAATGGAACACAGAAGTGGGTGAGAGGAATAGGCATACTGTGAAGATGTCATAAAAGTGCAACTTTATACATTTTTCTCTGCTGCTATAGTTATTTATACAGCTTATATACGTGCCTAAAATTGCCAGAAATATTATTTTATGCCATGATATACTATGAATTTCCTTTCAGTTGTAGAACAGAGAAAAGAAAATGTGTGAGCTTTAAGTTTATATTATGTATTATATACGGTTATTTACGCTTTGACTTTGAAAGCAAAAAGTTAAATACGAGACTGACAGGAGTACATGAGCACTTAGCTGTGCTCCTCAGCCTGGGCGTTAATGTACGGGCTAGAGGGATGAGAACAATAACCATCTAATCGCTGGATTAGCATCTCCTCCCAGGGCCACAGGTTGGAGAAACGTATCAGACATTCAGAGATGCAGCCTACCGGCAGCCCCGGCTTCACTACCAAGGAGTGGCGTGGCAGGTGCTGACATCTAGTCACACTTCCTTCACTACTCCAGACACGCAGTCTGTGTGAGTATAATGCGATAGAAAATGACAACCAGCCCCCTGATGGCCCTGTCACAGACGCTCGGGCTCCGGAGCTGGGGGCTCTCGGACCTGTCGTCCCAGGAGGCTGTGACTTTGAACAGAGGATGAGTGTGCTCCCCCCGACTTAGGCAGCTTGCTGTGGACCCTGTGCCCTCGGCTGTGCCTCTCAGGCTGACAAAGTCAAACTCCTGACCTGTCGGTAGCGCCGCTATGGCCAAAGCAAGCTGGCCTGTTATCAGCGCCCTCGCAGATCAACAGCCAGTTCAGTCTGGGGTTTGGGTTTTAAGACTGGCCGGAAATACTGGAGACTAGGGACTAATTGAGCAAATACCGTGGAATTTGGGCACATACAGCGTCAATGATGCTGGTAAGATTGATACGCATGATGATTCGGTTGTTTCTGCCTTTATGTGAAAGCTAAAGAAATACTGTAAGTAACATCAAGTAGGTAAATATATATTGCTCTACAGCAGGGCGGTATGTTACAGTGAAGGAACCCACGATTTTGAAATGTGGCTAGCCATAAATTCTTTGCCAGTGCCTGGAGTAAAGTGTCTGAAAAACATCTTCAGCACATTTTCCATTCTCATATGCTATATAATTACTTGTATGTGTGTTCCTAACAAACACTGGGTGAACACAGAATAGTGCCACTATTGTCAATTTAATTTATGCATTTCTTAAGTATATTTTTATATTTTTAGCTACAGTCAACAAATCAAATATATTTGAGTGTATTTTACACATTTTTATAAATAGTTCATGAATAAAACATTCATTTAAAAAAAACCACGTCCTTGTCTTCTGTTTGACTGCCTCTGCGTTACGGATTTTATTCTCCTGCTGCTCAGTGAAAAGGTCGCGTGTGAGTTTGATTTCAAGTGAGGCGGTCTTCAGAGAACATTAAATTCATCAGAAGCCCCAGCCTGTTGGGGGAGAGGGGGCTCTGCTGCTGCCCGCTGCCCGAATTAGTGCCCATGCGGAACGGTACCGTTCTT